AGGGTGGGCAGGCCCTGGCACAGGGTACCCAGAGAAGCTGTGGCTGTCCCTGGATCCCTGGAAGTGCCCAAGGCCGGGCTGGACACTGGGGCTTGGAACACCTGGGGCAGTGGAAGGTGTCAGGCTTGAAACAGGATGAACTTTAAGGTCCTTTCCTGCAAAACCACTCTGGGATTCTCTGATTAGCCAGGTGGTGTGCATGTTTGCAAATACTTGCCTGGAATTGTCTTTCTGCCTTGGGAAGTCCAGTGAGGAGGAGCTGGCTGTGTTCTGTGAAGGAGGCACCTACTGTTGCTTCCCTGGAGCTGCCAGGAGGAGTGGAGAAGGCTTTTCCTGGAGCAGGATGAGGATTGCACTGAAGGTGGCTGTGTCTGCAGCCTGTCAGCAAGCAGGGCAGTGGGGGAGCACAGCCTTATCCTCCTCAGCTCTTCCCCTTTCCTGCTACACAGATTTCAGACCTTTTCATGGGCAGCTGGCAGGACTGGCACTCCTTTGGTGGCGGAGATCAGCTGTAGCAGTGTCAGCTCTTGCTTGTCCTGGTGCCACACGAGGTCAGCTGGGCTGGAGGTGAGATGGCACAGCAGGTTCTGCTCCTCCAGCAGCAGTGAGGTTGCTTGGGATGATGGGGTTGGGTAACCTGGGCTTTACCTGAGCTTGTCCAGCTCCTCCAGTGTGCACGTTTCACCTCACGGCTTTGTGTGGCAATTTCAGGTGACTGATGTTTGCCCAAGTAACACAGCAACAGCCCTTGGTATTTTGTGTGTCCTTGTCTGTGGGGGTCCCAGTTGTTGGTTTCTCTGGGTCTGGATTGAAGGCACTCCAGACAGTAGTTCATGATGGGACTCAAGTGTTTATTATTTCTTATCAGTAAAGCAGTCTCACTACTGTGAGTTCTGCAGCTTTTCATTAGAAGGCACAAAATGGCCAACTGTCTCTTGTTACAAGTTCTGTTAAAACTAAACTGTCCAATTAAGAATTGACACCTGGATTATTTTCCCTTTTAACCCAATAACTGATCCCAAAGAGCCCCAATGAGAACTTTTCTGCCCAATTACAAAATGCCACCCAAACCCACAAAGAAGGAAGAAGAAGCATGAAGAAGAAACCCAGGACAGCACCCTGTGCCCTCTGTCTTGCTCCCATCCACAACATACTCAAAGTCCCAAACCCTAAATTTGTCAGCAAGTGATACACCTGCACTACTCTCTATAATCTACTGCACATTTTTGTGGATTCCAGTCTTTCTTGAAGTCTGGGAAACTTTCTCCATGAATGAGGGTCAAAGTCAGTACTTCCTTAGGGGTCAGGGCACCCCAGAGCAGACAGAGAAATATTCCTGGTGCCCTGGGCTTCCACACTTGTCCCCATCCAAGCCTTTACAGAGATGTTGGAGCATGGAGCAGGACAGGGGAATGATTAAACCATTGACAGCAAGAGCCTTGAGAGGAGCTCTTGTGGTTCTGTTCACACATGGGGACATCTTTTCGGTTCATTTTCCTTTTGGTGCATTTATTCATCCTTCTTCCCTCCTCCTCCTATTTCATCACTTCTTCCCCCACAAATATCTGAAGCCTAAAATAATGTTCTTGCCTTTTATCTGCCAATAGTCTGACACCAAGTAGTTCCTCTCCATGGCCATGAATTTATGTTTGGCCTCTTCACTCAGGTGCTAGACAGTATTTCTGGCAGCACAGATGGTGAGTCTAACACAGGCCTCTGGGTTTGACTCTTATGTTTGTTTACATCTTCATGCTACAATAGTAACCCAAAGAGACAAACTGGAAAATTGGGAAGTGCAGCCTTGGGCCTAATCCTGAAATGTGTGAAGGGCTTGGAAGCCCCCAGGGTGCAGGGAGAGCCCCCGAGCGCTGCCTGCCTTTCTGGGTTGGCTGATTTTTAACTGGCATGGCCCCTTCCTTCATCTCCTGTCCCACACATCCCAGTGCTCCCGTTGGACAAGGGCAATTTGAGATGTGAAATGCCAGGGATGAGGGGACCTGCTGTGTTTTGGGCTGTGACAGCCTCACGCCCTCGGTCCTGCATGTGAGCTCTGCATATTTATACATTTACACTGAGGCTTCTCCTCATCTTTTCTGTAATTCTGTTTGTCAGGATGAGTGGAGTGGAAAGATTGGGAGGGATGAGGGGGAGGTTCCTGTGTGTTCAAGAATCACAGGTAAATGAGTTTGTGCAGATTAAAACACAACCCTTGCACAGGCAGCTCACTTCTGCAAGATCCCTCAGCTTTGGAGCCGCCGGCTCAGAAAGAGGAATAAAAGTAAGTCTTAAAATGTTAGGGCTTAAAAACAGGGTCAGCTAAGCAGCTTTCAGTCATGCCATGAGCTTCCTTACCCCTCTGGGAGGTGCAGCAAGGAGCAGCAGGGATGGAGCTGAGCCCTGGCCTGGGAGGATGTGAGGAGATGCTTTCCCAGCACCTCTGGACACCCCCTGCTTCTGCAGCTTTTACACAGGATTTTGTTACTCACTTTGGTGCTTTTATCTTCATTTGCAAGGAGTCTCGAGCTGGATCCTCACGTGGGGCACCACTAATGTTGATTTTTTGGGCATTTTTTAGGAGATTTTTTTTTTTTTTTGTTGAGGTTGCTATTAAATTGTGAGATGGTATTTTTTGCTTGGATTCAGATGTTTATTAGTTTTTATTTACATTATAGTCTCACAAAGTGTGGGTTCTATAGTACTTTTCTTTAACAAGGTAAAAATGGAGACGTATTTTTTTTTTCTGTAATGTCTTGTAAGGGTAAACAGTTTAATTAAGAAATTATACTTAAATTATTTTTATTTTTAATCTAATAATACTAAACTACTCATGACTGGCAATGCAGATTTTTCTATTTAATTACACAATACTACTTAAACTCATGAAGAAAAAGGACTAGCTTTTGCTCAAAAACTTTTATCTCGTTTTATATATATTATTATATTCTAAAATTTTAAACTCTTAAGTTTTCTACTATGTGACATTACACGCTTTTATTTTAACTATACACTTATAATTTTAGTTCTGTTATTTAATTTTGGAACTTTTTTTTTACAGTGTTAGGTTAAACGTAGTGTTCTTTTGAGGGTTAGTGTTTGTTAGTACAGAAAGTTTAAAATTTTTAGTAAGCAGGGTTCCAACATCCCCCCTCAGTGACATCTGTCAGGGATCTGGTGCCAGTGGAGCTGCTGTGGTGTTTGTGAGGAGCAGGGCGAGGTGGTGACATCTCAGCTCTGTGTGGCAGGAGCAGTCACAAGTTCTGCTCGTGGCAAGTGTTGCAGCGATGAAAACAGTGAGAAGTGTCTGGTTTGTGTTTTCAAAACTTCTCCAAAATCACGTACTTGGAGTCCATTTCAAGAGCTCAGGATGAGAAGGGGGAAAAGGCTATGGGGTTCAAGAGATGATGATCATCTTCCTGTGAAAGGTGTCCCTGCCCATGGCACAGCTGGACTTTGGGGTCCCTTCCCACCCTTCTCTGATTCTTTTCATATTTCTTTACACAGAAATTAATTTGTTTGTTTCACCTAAATTGCAGAATCAAACACCACATTTCCAGCCATCACATATTTTTTTTGGTGAACCAGATTCTTACCTGGCAAAAAGTCACCTGGTCCAACTCCCTGACTTCCTTGGAGTCACGCTGGTTTCCTGCTGAAGGGTTTGCCTTGTAAGAAAATCACGGTATTCATTGAGGTTTCTTGTGGTAGGGAGGTTATTTCAGTACCCTCTGTGTTAGCTGAGTCTTTTCCCTTGAATAAAAAGCTGATTAATTTCAGAACTTGTTGGCAGTAGTTTGAAGACTGGAATCTGGGATTTGCGTAGCAATATTTCTGAGAAGCACGTTTAAAACTGAAGTACCGAGTGTTCTTTGTAAAGTCATCTCCAACACAAGCTACAGGACAGTTCCTTGTCCCACAGAAATCATCTGGATGGCAGGAAAGGGGAAGTTAGTGGAGAAAACTGCTGAATTTGGATGTGCTTTTGTGACTGTTGTTGAAGCACTCAGCCTCACTGGCATGTGCCGGGGAATTCTAGGAAATCTCTCAGTTGCTGTAGAGACAGCTTCCTCCAAACTTGTTTTTAGTGTTTCATTTTCTTAATGTCTATGTTTATGTATAGCCTCATGGCATAATGATCTCATATCAGAATATTTATATATATTTATGTAATGGGATACGTAAAAATACAAGTTATGCAATGTGAGTATGTATCCAGTTTATGCAAAGTTTCTTTTAATGTATCTAAAAAAAGCTCAGGGTGGTGAGATCAGCACTGCCAGTGAAATCTACTGTTTTCCTGCACGTTTTCAGTCATTCCTTGTTCTTCAGGTAAAGGCTCTGTGCCCAATAAAGATGATTTTTAAGCATCCATTTTATTGAGGGCAGTGTCCCTTCCTGGCATGGGCAGAGTCATTGTGGCACTAAAGGCTCAGATACCAGGGAGAAGAGGTGGTTAAACTTGTACCTGTGGTAGGTGAACATTGTGTTTTGTGTTCCCCAGAGAGGTGGTTTAATTCAAAATAATGTCAGTCCTCAGAGCTGTGTGGCTGCCTGAGCTCCTGGTAAATCAGGCCTTGCTCTGCGCTCTGCCTGGGGCAGGAAGGGTTCCTGCATCTTGGATCAGGATCAAGGTTCCCTTTGTGATCACAGCCTGGTAAAAACAAATCCAGGCTCTGATAGGTGGGAAATAAAGTACTGAGTTTCCTTTTGTTGTATTTCTTGAAAATAGATGTCACCTTTTCTGGCTCTAGTTGTATTTTTAGGTGGTGATGGTACAGACCAGAGAAATATGCAGAGGAGCACCAGATAAAAGATAAGACAGGAGAAGCAGCTCTGTGATGTGTGTTAGCTGAGGTTAACACCACTGGGGTTAATCACCTGATGTTGCATCAAATCCTCCACAGGGCAGAAGAAGTGTTTTAAAAAAGAGCAGAAAAGTCGCCTGTGATTTCCCTGTATTCTTCACCTCGGTGTAAGCCCCGCGGTGGTTTGTGTGTTGCCAGGTGCCTCTCACAGAAGCTGTGGACCCTGTGGACCTGGAGGAATATCTCAACACTCACCCTCTGGCCGTGGAGTCGGGGCCCCTGCGGGACCTGCTGGAGTTTCCCCGCGATGACATCGAGGTGGTTTACACCCCCCGCGAGTGCCGCACGCTCGTGTCGGCCGTGCCCGAGGAGAGGTGGGACACGAGGTGACCTGGTGCTGCTCCAGGGAATGAAATAGGTGTTTTAGAAATCCCCATCACCTCTGTGATCTTTGTTGTTCGTTCTTTTAACAGCGAGATGGACCCTCACGTGCGGGACTGTGTCAGGAGTTACACGGAGGACTGGGCCATCGTGAACAGAAAGTGAGTGAGAAACCCTGTGCTGCTTGTCACCTTAAGTTCATATTTAAATGTTGGCCAGGTGCTGTAAGGAGGCTCAAAAACACTGTCCTGGCTGCTGATTCCACGTGTTCTGGCTTTTTGTTGCCTGGTCCAGCTGAGCAGATGCTTTGTGTTTGGAAATTTGGATCTTGCCCCTTGGGGCAGTTTGGAAAATCTGGGCCTTTTCAGTCCGCAGTTGCTCCTTTACCATGCTAGAGCAATTAGGGAATGTGGACAAGTGAAATTACTTTCAGCATTTGTTGCTTCCTTTGTTCCATCTGGTTTTAGTTCTTTTTAGAGACAAGTTGCATTAATTTAGCAGTGATTTATGAGGAGTCACCGCCATCTGATAGACAAGGTACTCTCTGCAACTTCCTTTGAATCCCAGAGAGGCTTGGGAAAACTACATCATTCAGACAAATGATTGTTAATATTTGAACCATCACAACATTTACCTAATGAGTTAACAGTTCAGAGGATGGGCATGCATTGATTATTCCATGCAAATTAGCAGGAAGGGTTCTGAGAGGCTTCAGTTGGAGCAGGGACTCTCTTGGATGATTGGAAGTCTGATGGCTTCAAGAGCTGCTGTCAGGGAGTGAGTGATCCATGTGATGTGCATCACCTACAAATGACTTGGCTGCAGCTCCAGCTCTGCCCTTGTGGCAGTTGCTACAATTCACTGGTTTAATGTTGTCCTGAGAGCCACTTCAGGGGATGCTCAGGATGTGCTTGGCACTGCTAACATCACCTAATAAAAAAGTGTTTTGTAATCTCATACCAAAAAAAACCAAACCCAAACAAAAAAACCCATCAAAAATCAAAAAAAAAACCCAAAGAAAAAAGCACCCAGAAAGGAACCCAAGAGGGAGGGAGATGTTTTATTAACTCCCAGCCTTGGCAGCAGAGTCTTGGATACACCTGGGCAGTGTGACCCACCCAGCCACCCACTCCTGGCTTCTCAGTGACTTTCATGGGTACCTGGAATTCCTGGCCATGATTCCTGCTCTGATGAGCTTTATTTGGTGGGGTTTTGTCTTCTGAGAGCCAAAGCACTTCCTGCTTGGATAAAATCATGGCAGTGCACTGGGTAGAAATGGAAGAGTTACTGCTGGGGCAGGGGAAGAACCCAAAAGCTCAGCTGGGAAGGACTGAATTGTTTTTCAAGTGAGGGTGCCAACAATTTCCTCTTATTCCATCCCATTGGATGGTTCCAAACCCTCTGGCTAGCTCCAGGGGCACAAACCCCAGCTCTTGGAAGAAGAATTGACCTGTGACATTCTATTCTTCCCCAGCTCAGGGAAAATAATCTTTATGTCCATCTCTGCCTCCATTTTTTTGCAACCAAAATGTTTTTGAGGCAGGGAGATCCACCTGTTCAGTAATTCCTTTAATGATATTGGAAAAGGTGAATAAGTTCACTGGCCTGAAAAAAAACCTCTAGCATATTCTGATTTCAAGCTTATGGCATAATTTCTGTGTGCTAGACTGAGGAAGTCAGGTGTGAATTAGAGATAATTTGCACTTGTTGGTGGAGCTGTGATGGAAATGCAGACATCCAGGTGAGGATTATACAGATCCTATTGTTCAGCTCTCAGGAATTACAGCCTGGCAAGGAAAATGCATTCCTCCTTTTTTCTCTTCCCTTCCTTTATTTGCTGCTAGCATTTCCATGGTTTTCCCATGTCTGGAGCATCCCTCTGTGGTAACTTTAGTGCCAGGGCATGGTAAGAACAATTAATTCTAGCTGTGATCCCAGGAACTGACTTGGAGTGAGTATTGCAGGGAGGCCATGGCTCTACCCATGTGTGTGTGTATAAATACAGACGTGGTGCCATTTGGCACCCAAAAATTTGTTAGTCAAAGAGATCTGCTCCTGTCAGCACAGCAGGCAGACTGTTCACTTGTAGGAGCTCTCACACGCTGGAGGGCTCTGAGGGACCCACTTTCCTTACAGAGATGCTACCTAAAGACACTTGTTTTAGTCTGGGTTGGAAAATTATTCTCCAGAGGTGCTCAGGATTTTCCTGAGTTGCTGTTTTGGTTTTCCAGTTAATCATTTTATCTGCTCCAAGTCAGTTCCTGCTCCAGCAGAACCACTGGCCTTCAGCCCTCGTGTTCCCGGCCTGTTTTTAGCTGGGCATCACAATGGCACATTTTACAGTGACTTTAATTGGCCCTTGATAATCCTCCTTTTGACATCACCCAGAGTGGCTTTATAGATGAACAGAGTCACATTGTAGTGCTGGAATAGTGGCTGTTGGATGATGCCCCAGCTCCAGTGGAGCTGACTGGAAATTGTGTGTGCAGAGAGCAGCTCCTGCCTCAGGAGCACCCACGCTGACAATGCTGGGTTTGTTCCGGGGTGCTGCTTCTGGGCTCGGGGTCAAAAGGGCTGCTGAGAACGCGTTTGAAATCCCCTGTTTGCAGATACCACAAGCTGGGAACCGGGTTCAACCCCAACACCTTGGACAAACAGAAGGAGAGGCAAAAAGGGCTCCCCAAACAGGTCTTCGAGTCTGACGAAGCTCCCGATGGCAACAGCTACCAGGATGAACAAGTAATGTGCCTTTAAAACCTCACTACATAAAACCTAATTTATGGTCCTGCTTTAAAAGTGCAGTCCTTTTCCCATTAGAAGTTGCTTTTAATTTGTTGGCTCCCAGGACGACCTCAAGCGCCGCTCAATGTCGATCGATGACACGCCGCGGGGCAGCTGGGCCTGCAGCATCTTCGACCTGAAGAACTCCCTGCCCGATGCCCTGCTCCCCAACCTGCTGGACAGAACCCCAAACGAGGAGATCGACCACCACAACGAGGACCAGAGGAAGTCCAGCAGGCATAAGGAGCTTTTTGCACTACACCCAGCACCAGATGAGGTATTTTTGCATGCGTGTGGGTGAGACTAAAAAAGTGAAGGGTATGGAGTGAAAGCTGCCAGTTTGCCTTAATCTTAAAGGATTTGAGATCACTTGTGTTTAACGTGCATGAGAATGCAGCTATTTTGTGTTTTTCAGCGTATTGTCTTGCTCATAGATATTACTTTCTGAAGATTGGGTTTTCCTTCTGGTTATGCAATCTCCAGTAATGTAGAAACATTAAAGGGATTTAATTTAGCATATTTATAGCTGCTGGTGAATGCACCGTGCTGGGAAGCCTTGGATTAAATTGGTGCTGTGTCTTAGAAGAAAAAAGTGATGGATGTGTTTGCCTCCTGGTTCTGCTGGTGGTTTGTACAGGAATTGTATCTCTAATTCCAGGAGGAGCCCATAGAGAGACTCAGTGTCCCTGAAGTACCCAAAGAACACTTTGGCCAAAGACTCCTGGTGAAGTGTTTGTCCCTGAAGTAAGTACCACTCCAACAGACAGAAACTCAGAATTCAAATCTGCTGCTGTATCCACATGCATCTGTGTCATGGTTTTCCCGAAAAACTCACTTCCTTATCAAACCAGGACACTCTGGAATGACTCCACTGCCTTTTTCATTGCCCTGGAAGGGTCACTACTGCATTGCTTGGTCATAGGCTTCCAGGTTCATTTTGTAAAGCTTGAGTTACACAGTTGTACCTTCAAGACTTCCTGCACATGGGTGAGACAGGAAATATCCTCCTCCCTTGGCTTTTCTCCCTGTTGCTTTCCAGCTCTACCTGTTCCATGTCCCTGGCACGTGACATGAGGCTTCACCACACTCCCCCAGGGCTCTCAAGCTGGCCACTCACTGGTGTTCCCCTCCCTAAGGAGGAAATTTGAGATTAAATTTAAAGACTAAAAATGCTTGAGCCTTAAAAACATAAAGCCAGCCAAAGATTTGCCAAAGTTTAGGCTCAACAACCTTGACTGTGTCCCTTTAAGAGTGAAGACTTTATATACTTAGTAAGCATTAACTGGAGGAATAGAAACCTGTTAAACAAGTTTAATGAAGTGGAGCTCCTGAATATAGGGTTACCTGCAGCTGGTTCATTGCCTATAACTCTTCTCTAATAACACAAGGTAAAATTTTACTGTTATTCCCTTGGAGAAATAAAGTACAAAACTGATTTTCCACACTGCTGTATTCATCTTCTGTGTCCTCAGTTAGGTCAACCCTTCTTATTAGAGAGCTCCAGTTGCTGCTCATAACTGAGATATATGTGTGGGACATTTCTCCTGCTCGTAGAGTACTCCAGGACCTAATATAGCCATAGAGATGAACTGATTTTGCAGCCTTTTATGAACTGGAACAACATAATATGCAGTAGCAGTGCAGCTTCCCTCCAAAGGAAGGTGTCTTTAGCATAAATAAGTTAGATGCTGGAAATTAATGTTTTCTGCTCTTTAAGCATCTCTTGCTGACTGCAAATTTATGGCAGATCTGCCCAGCTCCATGTTTGCTTTGTGTACCTGGGAATCTCTGAGCCTGTGCTCGGGGATGTAATCCAAGATTGTGCCATCACAAAACAAGGACATCTTCCCCAGGGAGCAGGCTCAGATGTCCTAAGCAGGGTTATTTCCAGGTTAATCTCAGCTTTGTTGCAAAACTGGAGAAAACACCTGTTTGGTGGTGTTGTCCCTGTTGGAAGGAGGAGTTCCAGGCTGAAGCCGAGAGCTCCCTGCAAGGGCTGGGTGTGGAGGGGATGTGGATTTTGTGGGGAAGCTGTGCAGAGCAGAATGGCATTTCAGCCCCTGCTCACTGTGGTGCAGGGACAGGTTTTGCATGTTTTTAAATTCCTGTAGCTGCCCAGGTGTTCTGACAATAAGTTCAGCTCTGTTTGGTGGGTTGTTTTCTTGTTGGGAGTGTTGGAATTTGCATAAACACTGGATAACAGTCACTGTGAAGAGCTGGCACCTTTCTAAGGGGGTTTTTGGTACTTTTTGACAACAGTTAATTGTTGAAAATTGCCAAAATAGGTGTCCCTGCTGGCCAGAGGCAGGAGCCCTCTGGCCAGGGATGCTGAGAGGAGCAGTTGCCATTTATCTGGGAAAACTCAGGAAATTGGCTTCTCCAGGGGATCAGGGGAGCTGAGTGCTCCAGTTACCCCAAATAACAACTCCTGCCCCTTTGAGGAGACTTTTGGGCTGCTTTGCTTGGCTTTCAGTGAGTTAAAATAGCTTTTGGAAGGTCCAAGGTGCACTGAGATGGTCCTGGAGGGAGGGAGCAGGACAGGAGTGGGGTGGAAATTGGGGAAGGAGATCCCTTTGGAGCAGGAGCTGCCCTGGGGTTGGCTCAGCTCCATCAGCCAGGGAGGATTTGGGGACAGGGTTGGTTATTCCCTCTGAAAAAATGCAAGTCAACTGATTCTGTGTTTCCTTCTTTCAAGATTTGAAATAGAAATTGAGCCCATTTTTGCAAGTTTGGCTTTGTATGATGTTAAAGAAAAGAAGAAGGTAGGTTTTTAATTACTTGAGTGTGACATTTCCATGAAATTTAAACACAAAAAATGGAGGAATTAATTCTGGTGGCAAAGCTTTAAGAGGGCAGTGACACAGAGGTTGGAAGAATGATGAAGGCATTTCATGAACCATCTTGTAAAGCAGCTGAGGTATAAAAATTTCCTAAAAATGTTATCTAATACGTGATTTAATACTTTCCTAAAAATATTATCTAATATGTGAGTGCTGAAATCAGAATATATCTATATACACATATACATATATATATATATACACACACACACACACATATATATATATATATATATATATATATATAAATTAAAAAAATATATATGTAGTCCAGTTTTGGCTTTCAAAAGTCTCTTCCCAAGAGAGAACTTAGGTAACTGAAACCTTTTATTTAGATTAGGTTTTTATGACTTTCTTAATCTCTTTTTGGTGATTCAGCATGGCATGGGTCCAAGCAACATTCCAATAATGCACAGAAAGTCACGCATGCTGAAATTGCTAAAATCAAAACAAAACTGAGGAGTCTGTTCAAGATCTTAGTTATAGGAAATGGAAAATACATTTATTCACCTATTTATGTTCTGTATTTAATATTTAAAGAGTCTCTTAGTTTTCCTTGTTCAAGATATTAGCAGTAGTGGAGAGAAAAATGTTAAAAATATGCATTTTGACATTTATCTCTTTAAGGCTTGAATTTAATGCATTGAGATTTAAGTTATGTAGATGAGAGTATGTGGAATATTATGTGAACTTTGTTTAATATTTAAATCACATTTCATAAGCCAATTTTATCATCTCATTACTCCTTTTTTTTTGGCTCTAACGTAGTAAGTTCTTTAGTGACCTCTGGTGTTGGTAACCTGCTCACATCTTTTTTGGCTCTGCAGCTTTGCAGTCAAGGATTTGCTGTTTCAGGGCAGAAGGCTCAAGGGGTGTTAGTTTTTCTGGGTTTTTTTTTTATATTTTGGTGTTTTCAACTAGCATTGGTAATTCCTAATCCTTGTGATGGAGCTGCACACCTCAGAGGAGCTGGAGGAAATTTTATTTGTGGTGTTTCCTCCATTTCCTTTCTCACTGTCCTGCCTTGGTTTTTAATCAAAAAGGCTTTTTCTTCTTTTCCTACATGATGTGACACAAGGAGTTTTTAACATGCCTTTAAAAACAATTTAAAATTGTTCATGAAAAGTTTACCAAAAAAAAAGATATAACTAATGCTTGAAACGACCCAATTTCTTCCTTAGATTTCAGAGAATTTCTACTTTGATTTAAACTCTGAGCAAATGAAGGGAATGCTTCGGCCTCATGTCCCCCCTGCTGCTATTTCCACCCTGGCCAGATCTGCCATCTTTTCAATCACCTACCCATCCCAAGATGTCTTTCTAGTAATAAAGGTAAGAAATGCCAGGGAAATTGAAATTATTGTGGTTTTTTGGTTTTTATTTAAAGTAAAATAGAAATTCTGTTCTCAGAAGTGTAAACAGTGCTGCTTTATTTCAAGTATTTTCACTTCAGTTCTTTTGTAACAAACAGTTCAGTGCACTGAAACTGGAGAGAGCACAAAGGTTTGCTTGATGATATAAATCAGTTTTCTGGGGCTTGACCTTGGTTTTCATATAAAACAATGTGCTGACTCCTTAAAATGACAGATAAGTCAGTGATTTAAAAATATCTATTGATCTGAATCTCATTTCCAAAAGGATACATGCCCCTCAGCCAGATTTGCAGATGTATTTAGGGCAGAAATTGCCAAGAGAGTGAGATCCATAACTGAAATAAAATGCAGCATTGGTCTCTCCTGGGATAAAGTGCACAAAGATAAAAGTTATTCTCTGTTCTCTCCTTTGGTTCAGTGAGTGCACAAATGCTGCTCATTCAGGTGGGTGTTTCAGTCAAGATTTTTGGCTGGACTCTGGGTAAAAATCATCCTGTGGTCAAAAGGGGAGCTCAGGGCAGATCTGCAGTTCACAGGCAGTGTGAGGGTTCTGCAGAAATGCTTCTCACACAAGGACTCACCAGGCTGCAGCTCTTGTGGAAGAGTTTTCTCCTTTCTTGTGCTTGTTCAATTTATCAATCCTTGCTGGATACGTGTCCCTATAATGGTTCCTTTTTCCTTCTCAGCTGGAAAAAGTTTTACAGCAGGGAGATATTGGGGAGTGTGCAGAGCCTTACATGATTTTTAAAGAATCTGATGCAGCAAAGGTAAGGATTTCTTTGGTGTTTTGATAAAAAATTAAATGCATTTTTTTTTACCTTGGATGGTTGATACTGTTCCTGTCTTTAAAAGGATCCATTTTTAATTAGGAATTAATCCCATTCTAAAGGCCAAAAAAGAGCCAAAGACCTTTGAGTCTTGATGCCTTTTTGGGGTGGACTAGTTAAAGGTCAGCAGATTTTGTGGCTGTCAGGGGAGATTTGTGGTTCCCATCAAACTCAGTCATCTGTGATTCCCTGTCCCAAAGGATCAGCTGGGCCAAGGGAAGGCAGCCTTGGATGGGAATTTGCAGAAGAACCTCCAAAATGATTTCTAATTTGATGTGCAGTTGGGTTGGGCCAGGTGGAGATCAGAGGGTGATAATGAGGGCTGGGTGAAGGGCAGAGCAGAGGTTCCAGCCCTTCTTGTCGTCCCAGCCTCTCCATTTCCCAAAAACTTGGATGATTTGTTCATTTTAATCAATCTCTTAATAAATTATTTCCTCCCCAAAGCTCTAAAAATTGCTCTTTCATATGCAGAGCTATAGAAAAATCCTCTTTTATTCCCTTTTTTCCTTGACAAAATGAGTATGGTAGTACTTATTTGAGGAGTGTTTTGAGTTTCCCACACAACTCCAGATGATCTGAGCACCTCCTGCATAAAATCACATGAGGAAAGGCTCTGTCAGACTCCACAGGGGCAAATTCAGATTTTCTTGAAGGAACAGTGGGCAGATGAGCTCGCTGGGATTTGCCAGGCTGTTCAGGAGGGTTAAGAACATAAAAGACTGTTCTGACTGTCCTCTGGTGGCCTCTTTTGGGAAGCAGGAGTTGCATTTTCCCAACACTTGGTGCTCCTCCTCTGGACATGCTACAGAAACACAGATCATTGGGAGCTGGGAAAGACACCATCATTCCTCACTGATTTTACTGAATGAACCTCTGACCCTGTTCCTCTCCTTTTAACCTCTTGGATTGAATATTTTCTTCACAGAACAAGGAAAAGTTGGAAAAATTGAAGGGCCAGGCAGAGCAGTTTTGCCAAAGACTGGGGAAGTACCGGATGCCTTTTGCCTGGACAGCCATTCACCTCATGAACATTGTGAGCAGTGCTGGCAGCTTGGAAAGAGACTCCACAGAAGTTGAAGTTGGCACAGGAGGTACAGGACTTGGCATCTGCAGGAGGGAATGTGGGCAAATCCAGAGGTTTTGATTCATATCCTGTAGCTGCTGATGCTCCTTTTATTGCTTTCCTCCCCCTACCCTGATGGTCTGGGGTCATGGTTGAACTGAACCAGAAAAGTCCACGATAACAAATGGATTTATCTTTCAAGGATTTTACTAGCAAACCATCTGTTATATTATTTAAAACCAGGCTTGTGAGACTGAGGGAGCATTACAGGCTGATGAACATTTTCCAAAGGAGTGGATTAATCTTTGTGAGCCACATAGCTCATCCGAAACTGCTCTTCAGCATCCCCAAAACTGCCAACTTCATCATCTTTCAGAGCAAGGGAAATACATAAATCTCAGCATGATGAAGACTTTTATAACAGCAGGAAGGCACTGGGCTGAGGTGGCTGGCAGGGGAGCAGGAGTCTGTGCTCCACAGCCTCCCAATACCTCGAGTGGGATGGCCTGAGCATCACCCCCTCTTCTGTCACCTCATGGCATCATTCCCTCTCCTCCTCTAAGGGAAGGAGCTCTTCCTTCCCCAGGAATACTGCTGGGAACCAAAGCAGGCTCTTGGACTGTAGTTTTTCCTGCTTTATTTTTAATTCCTTCTCACTGTTGTGTCTTGCAGAACGTAAAGGGTCGTGGTCGGAGCGGCGGAATTCCAGCATCGTCGGGAGGCGTTCCCTGGAGAGGACCACGAGTGGGGACGAGGCCTGCAACCTGAGCAGCTTCAGGCCAGCCACCCTGACAGTGACCAACTTCTTCAAACAGGTCTGGCAGGGCAGTGGCTCACCTGGGAGTTATTTCTTGGACAGAAGGATTGGATGGTGTGAGGTCACTGGGTGATTAATTTGGGATTAATTTGATTTCTGCTCCCCAGTTGCAGGGAGACTTTGAGCAGCATTCATTTTATGTTATTTATCAATTATCATGGAATAACAGACTGATTTGGGTTGGAAGGGAGATTAAAGCCCATCCAGTGCCACCCCTGCCATGGGACACCTTCACTGTCCCAGGCTGCTCCAGCCTGGCCTTGGGCACTGCCAGGGATCCAGGGGCAGCCACAGCTGCTCTGGGCACCTGTGCCAGGGCCTCACCACACTCCCAGGGAACAATTTCTCCCTAATACCAAATCTAAACCTCCTCTGAGTTATATATTACATAATATTTATATAGTATATTAATTCTGGTAGAGGTGAATCCAATTCCTCAGAGTGATTTAAGGTTGACATCAGTTTCCTGGACACATCCAGGGATCCCTGAGGAGAACAAAGCATTCTGCTTCTGGTGCTGCTTTGCTGAGTGGCAGCTCCTCTTAGCCAGAGCTTGGGATTTTCTAGAGCAGTGGAAAACACAAATAAAGGGAACAAATTTTTTAGTTAAGCTTAGCAAAAAGTAATGAGCTGAAAATTTTCTAAGATTTGCTTAATTTCGCATCTAGAGAAGGAAAAGCTGGTCACTAAGTTAGTGATTAATACATAAATACAAATAAGTTAATGATAAAAGCATAAATACAAAAGCCTGTATTTATTTACTTGGTTTAGGTTATTTTTACTTTGAAGCAGCTAATTTTATTTAATTTGTCCTTTAAAAACTGCCAAACATTAACTTAAGATTTTAAATTTCAGAGTATTTATTATATTCCTTTTCTCCTGTTCAGTTTAATTAGCTGAACACTACCCAGTGTTTTTCTCCTTCCATTTGCTTCTTTTTTTTACTTCTTTATGTTGTAAAGGTAAAAGATACCTTTAAAATCAGGTGTCTTTTATGATTTCTAACTTTTAAAATCAGGTATCTTCTGCTTTTGGGCGGCAGAGTCACATTTTCTGTAATATTTCCAAAATTGGCAAAACTCTGAGCTGCTAGAATGGGCATGAGGAAGACTGACAACACACTCCTTGCACTTCCTACTTTTCCTGGAAAATAAGGCTGTTCTGGGCTCATCCCAAAGGAAGGGCAGAGGAGAAGGAATGGGGATCACCTCCTGAATGACAGATCCTTTTTCAAACTACCACACTTGCTAAAAAATGGGTATTTTTGGGAAATCTTTTAGCAGCCATTTCCAGTTTGGTAAAAGATAATATTGATGGGGAGAGAAAAGGCTTTCAATTAAAAGTTCCTGCAGCTGTCAGGGTGATTAATAAGGGATGAAGGCAGGGGAAAGGATGGAGAAGTGAAGTGTAATTTAACACGTTAATGATAGTAACACCTTGTTCTGGGAAGGGACAGTTGGATGCCAGAGGGAAGAGCCTGTGGGATGAGAGGCTTTGTTCACCCTGGCAGCCCTGGAGGGGAGTTTGGGTAACCAAATGTTGCACCCTGAGCAGGAGGGGGATCGCCTGAGCGATGAGGACCTGTACAAGTTCCTGGCTGACATGAGGCGTCCCTCGTCGGTGCTGCGCAGGCTCAGACCCATCACAGGTATCCAGCTGTCACTGTCTCTGCTTTCTGCTGAGGGAATGGCACCACCGTGGGGCTGAGAACCATTTATTTATTGCCCACATCAGTCTCACAGGCTGTGAGATTTTAAAGGAGCAGGCTGCTGGCCGTAGCTCAAAGTAGTCACAAGTTCTTTGTTACAAGGCAATAAATGACTTTCTAATCCAATGGCCACGAAGTGTATTTTGCTTTTCTAACCTATCACCTTTACTCACTTCTACTGCATTGAAGTACTTCTGCTTTTACCCAATGGGCTACTATCTGTACACACAGATGCTTCTGTTATAACTGCTCAACTCTTTGCTTTCTCTGTACAACCACACCCCTACCTTATAAACCATTCACCATCTTATCAATACAGTTTCTTAAGGCATATTCTTTCTTACAACTGTAGAAACATAAGTCCATGAAATTTCCATTTAATGTCTGTGTTTGGAGCTTCACATCAATCCAAGCTTCTCCCAAGGCTGCAAGGACACAGTCTCAAGCTGTGTCAAGGGAAGTATAGGTTGGATATTAGGAAAAACTTTTTTACAGGAAGGGTGATACAGTTCTGGAATGCTCTGCCCAGGGAGGTGGCGGAGTCACCATCCCTGGATGTGTTTAAAAACAGACTGGATGTGGCACTGGGTGCCATGGTTTAGCACAGTTATGCTTTTAAAAATTAATTTCTACTTATTAATGAGTAAAACCCCTTTCTTCTTGCAGCTCAGTTGAAGATAGACATATCTCCAGCTCCAGAGAACCCCCACTACTGCCTAACCCCAGAGCTGCTGCAGGTCAAGCTTTACCCAGACAGCAGAGTCAGACCCACAAGAGAAATCCTGGAGTTCCCTGCCAGGGATGTCTACGTTCCAAACACCACATACAGGTCAGAGTTTGGAAATCCATTTCACCTTCCAGGGCCTGAGACTGGCAAGTGTAGAAATTCCTCCCTTATCAGCAGACTTGTTGCAAAATTTGGTTGTTGGGCAGAGGTGCTGTGCCAGAGGCATGGGAAGGGCTCAGGCTGACACAGCAGGGAAGGCTCAGCTGGGGAGGGACAAACAGGTTTGCATCAAACTTGGCTGTGAATAAGAACACAGGAGAGGTTTCTCCATTTCTCCATTTGGTTAAATTCTTTTCAGTTTTAGGTTTTCAGTTTAGGGTTTTTTTCCTTTGCTAAAGTCACCATTCTCCTACTGGTTTTATTAATTTATGTCACTTTCACTGACTTTTTTTTCTTTAAAGTGAGGATTAGAAATACAGAAAATGCATAATCCCTTTGTTCATATTTCCATTTTGGTTTCCAAGCAATTTCTTTGTTTACAATACCTGGCAAAAAAATCCTCTGAAGCCCTGAAAATTAGGAAATTTTTCTAAATATCTTGGGAAACAATAATCTTTCTATAACACAATCCAGGCTGGGACCAGATTTCTTTACATTATGTACCATTGTTAATTTAAAGCTTTTTCATAGTATCTTTGTAGACTTTACATGGCTGGGTGGAATTGTCTTCATCAGCTGAGTAATTTCACCAATTTAGCAAATCCTTTATTTAAATTTAGATACAAACCAGGTTTTTATAAATCAAAGCTTGCAAGAAGGGTTTAGTCGAGTTCCATATCCAGTATTTTGAAAAGTCTCAGCCATTTATTTGTTTGTCTCTATATTTATTGGACAGGTAATTTAACATTACAGTAAACCAGTACAAATAAGCAACACTGCATGATCTCATCTCTGTTACAAAACCATGAGAAGGAAAAGGATTTTTTTTTCAGCATTTCTGTAATTAACACATTCTTTTCATGGGGTTTCACTCTGACAAATGACAACCAAAACCATTTCCTGTGCTGAGATAAAAAACCCACACTGTACAAGGGTTGGGGAAGATAAACAAGTCAATATGACTCAGGGGAGCTGCAGGACTGGGGGTTTTGTCAGTCAGCACTTCCAGGGCCAGCCCAAGGCTGTCACTCCATGTTCTGCAGCTGAAGTTCAACATGTGAGTGTCCCCAGGAGCTGGACCAGCCCTGTCCCATGGGTTGTGCCTACTGGGTTTGTGGGTTGGCACCCTTGACCCATTGGAGCAGCTGTTCCCTAAGTGAAAGGTGTTTTGGTGTGTGCTCACTTGGTTGTTTATTTAATTCCTTGGTTGGACTGAAAGGTCACAAAGGCTTGGCTCTGATTCATTTCAGGTGAAGAGAGCAGATCTCTTCCTCCTTTCAGTGAAGTTTGGCTCTTCACTTCCAGTGAGCAGCCCATCTGTGCAGTTGTCCTGTGGGATCTGTGGGACCCAGAGGAGCAGGATCTGCTCTGCCCCCTGTGTGTGACACACCTGCACAGAGCTCCAGAGAGCATGGACTGGCCTTAGCTACACTCCTGGAACATTGTCTGGAAATACCCAGAGCCCTAAAATGAGGAATTACCCATATTTCATTTGCTCCTAAAACATTCCACAACAAAAACATGAACTAAACATTCAATTAGTGACTTCAAGAAACAAAATTTCTTTTTGTTCCCCCTAAATGTTTTCCGTAGGGTTTTGCCAGCCCTTTGTTCCCAGAAAACACTTTTTGTTTTCCCTACTACACAACCCAGAAAGGAATGCACAGCCTGAAAACCCATTCCCCCAAACAATATTATCCAATATGTGATAGGTTGGCTTCTAGGCATTAGAATTGCACTGTGGGGAAGGAAAAGCTCCACAAAAAGTTGCAGCACATTGACATAGGGGCTTGAGGGAATGACAATACTCACCAAACATTTTGTAAGACCATCTCAGATGCCTCAGGTTTATGTTTTGGAGAAATTCCATGCAGGGCATGGATTGGGACATGGCATCTGTTGGTAAACACAGCATCAAGTCCTTTGGTGTGGTGAAGTTCCTTGTGTTTGTTCTGAGTTAAAATGCAGCAGGTTGAGCACTCAGTCAAAGCTTTTTAAGTCTGTTGGGTGGATCATTATTTTGGTTGACTTGAGCAGGTAGTATCTCCCTTTCTTAGGCTTCCAGTACAAACCTTTTCCTCTGTCCAGCCTTCCCCTGGACCTTGGCGTGACGTATTTCCCGTTCAGGTTGGTTTCCTCACACTCACTGTGCCACCAGCCTCCTGAGGAGAAACGTGGCCCTGTCAGTCTGTGGCAGAGTAAACAGCTCCTCCTTGCAACACAGATCTGCTTTAGACCCTAAATTCCAGCTAAACTGGCATCTACCCAGGATTCCCAAATCACTGAATTGCTTGGGTTGGGAACGTCCTCTAAAGTCACTGAGTGCAGCCATTCCCCAGCGCTGGCAAGGCCACCCCTGACCCATGTCCCCAAATGCCACACCTGCCTGGATTTTAAATCCCTCCAGGGGTGGGGACTCCACCACCCTGGGCAGCTGTGCCAGGGCTGGAGAACCCTTTCCATGAAGAAATTTTCCCTCTAATCAATTTAAGTCTCCTCTGGTGTAACTTGAGGCCATTCCCTCTCCTCCTGTCCCTGTTCCCTGCAGCAGAGCCTGATCCCCCCTGGCTGTCCCCTCCTGGCAGGAGCTGTGCAGAGCCACAAGGGCCCCCTGAGCCTCCTTTGCTCCAGGCTGAGCCCCTTCCCAGCTCCCTTAGCTGCTCCAGACCCTTCCCCAGCCCCATTCCCTTCCCTGGACACACTCCAGCCCCTAAATGTCCTTGTCCTGAGGGGCCCTTCCCTGGACATGAGATGCCCCTCTTGGCATTCTTTCAGGCATCCACGATTTTCAAGAATGCCTAGGATGATGTATGAAGTGTTTGATGCATGAAGCAGGTGGCTGGAGGACAATTTTGTATCCTGTGCTTTAATCATTTAATTGCTTCTTCAGTTGTTTGCGTTCTGCTATAAACTGGCAAACATAAAAGCTTTGTAAATCAGAGATTTACAAAGGGTTTAAGGGTTCTTAATTAAGAACCCTTTAACCAAATTATCTCCAAGGAGAAATGGCCTCAGCCTTGCATCTCTTGCTCTTTTGAGAGTGATTATATTGTGTATATATGACAAGCAGCTAAAATCTGCCTTTGAATGGAAACTCACTCATTATTAGCTTTTAGGTTGTAGCCTAAATGGAATTAGAAGTCAGTTTGTGTTTAAATTTTTTGCAAAAAGGGATCAAACAACCCAACCTGGGGCTGTCACACCAGACCAGGCATCAGAGGAGGGACTGCCCTTTACTTCAAAGTTTGGAATCCCATCCTGGGGGTTATTTCAACCTGTGCTGCCTGTTCTGTTTCTGGTATTGGTTGTTTGCACTGGAGGGCAAGATTCTTCCCAATAAGAAGAAAGCAGAAATTAGATTGGGAAGTAATTCTTCCCTGTGAAAGTGGTGAGGGGCTGGCAGAGACTGTGGATTCTCCGTCCCTGGATGTGTCCAAGGCCAGGCTGGATGGGGCTTGGAGCACCCTGGGATAGTGGAAGGTGTCAGGGTTGAAACAGAATTCACAGAATCACTGGGTTGGAAGAGACCTCCAAGATCATGGAGTCCAACCCAGCCCCAGCACCCCAACTCAGCCCTGGCCCCCAGTGCCACATCCAGGCTTTGTTAAACACCCCCAGGGATGGGGACTGCAGCACCTCCCCGGGCAGCCATTCCAGAACTTTATCACTCTTTCAGTGAAAAATTATTTCCTAATATCCAGCCTGAATTTCCCTTGGTGCAGCTGCAGGCTGTGTGCTCTGGTTGTGTCAGTGGTGCTGGAGAAAGACCCCAGCCCCAGCTGAGCACAGGCACCTTTCAGGAGCTGTGCAGAGCGATGAGGGCACCCCTGAGTCTCCTTTTCTCCAGGAGCACCCCAGGATGAGCTTTAAGCTCCCAGCCCAGCCCTCCGTGGTGCAGTGCTGGTGGAGCAGAGCAGCTGCCGTGCCCTGGGGCCGTACCTGGGTGGCTCTGGGGACAGCTGGAGCTGCTGGCCGTGTCCCCGGTGGAGAAGCGCAGCTGGGCGTGCTCGGGCAGCGCGTTGGGAATGCTCCCCGACATCCTGGACAGCTGCAGGGTGAAGTTGGTGCTGGGGCCCCCCAGGCTGAAGCTGTACTCGATGTGCCTCCTGTTCCCTCTCCAGTCCTGCAGCTCGATCCGCAGCAGGTAATTCCCCTGCTGGGTGATGGAGTAGATCTTCTTCAGGCCCAGCCAGAATTCCTCTGCAAAGGTGGAGGGAAGAGATGGTTTTAGGGATAACCTGCAGGTAGTGTGTGTGAAAATACAGTATTTAAAAGGCTTTATTAATTGCTTTAATTAAATCAGTGATTTGAGTCTTGGGGACTGTTGATCTTTGCAGAGGTCTGCTGCTACATTCTTTTTGTTTACCTCTGCTTAATTGCACACTGATGATCAATAAAAGCAAGAGTTCTAAATGAACTGGAGCTTCCCCCTTTAAGTTTCCCATCTCATGTGGAACTCTGAGAGGGAGCTGGAGACATTTAAGAGGTGTGTAATTGGAATGTGTGACAAATGAAGCCAGTGACATACATAAAACCTAATGGCAATTGTTGCATTTTGGGAGGAAAGAGCTGCAGAACCAAACTGGGGTTTCAGCACCCTCCTGTACAAAGGGAATTTTTCTTTTGCTGGAATCTCTGATCATTAGTTTAATTGGTTTCATATATTCATTAAGTAGCTTATTATCAGTGCAGGTAATTGCCACATGTACAAAGTGGGGCTGAATGTGAGTGCCAGGCACACAGCTGGCATTTAAAACCATAGAGCACAAGATGCTTGAAGAAAATACTCCCTAATTTCCAGGTTAGGAGCTGTAACCTGGTTTATTTTATCACCTCAGAAGGTGCAGCAGAGCCCTGAGTAGGACATAGCTGAGAGCAGTGAAATTCTCTGTGAGACCCAACTCTGCAAACATTTGGCTGTATCTTGGTGCAGTATTTGGGAATTGGGAGACCAGTCAAGGAGCCACTAAAGCATCCAACAGGATCAGATAAACTTTACAGCTGAAAGTCTGTCCCAGCTGGGAGCTCCTGTCCCAAAGCTGAGGGAAAGGTTGAGATACAGCAGCTCTTTATTATAAAAGATGTGGAAATACGTCAATATTGCTGCTCACCTTGCCAAGGTTTAGATCTGTGCTGTGCTTAGAAAGTCAGACCGTTTCCCAAACAAGAGGTCACTCATCTCATACGAGAAAAACAAGGAGAAGATTCTGGATGAGGAGGCTGTTGGGCAGCACTTGGTGCTACAGATTCTTTGGAGTTGATGATTAACAGGGGAATGTGGGTGTTTCCTCACCCTATCCAGCCATGGAGGGGATTGGCCACTCTGGAGAAGCCTGAGGTGTTTGCTCTGGGGAGCACACACAGCCTTGGGCTCTCCTGAGGCTGGAAAAATTGAAGTGGTTTTAAGGGTAGCAGGATTGGAGGAAGGCTCAGAGAAAGTAGTGACAGCAACTTCGTGAGGGTCTGCCTTTGTGTGTATTTGAAATGCTTTGGGAGGTGCTTTTATAAGTAGTAAAATCTTGATGAAATAGTGTTTAAAGCATTCTGGCCTTGATTCAGTTTCTAAACACACATTTGAAGGGATGTCTTTGAGAATTTCACGAGTTATGTGTTCTAGTAAGCACTTCCTGCTATTGCCAATAAATCAGTCAGTTGCTATTTGCAGGTTTAGTCTGCTTTCCTTTCCACAAGAAGATTAAGCTTCTCAAATCAATTGATGCACACAAAAAAAGGAATATTTACCATTGAGGTCACCAAAACCATTTGTGTAGGCATCCCAAGTTTGGTTGAAATCCAGCGATCCATCCACTCTCTTCTGGATAACAGTCCAAGATGTGCCTGTGAAAAGGGGAAATAAGTCACAGCTTGGCCTTGGCCTCATTCCCTGTCCCTGAGTGTGCTCTGGGCTGCTCCCATTTTGGGGTAGAATGAGTTAATTGAGGTCTTCATGAAGGGAATACAAATGAGCCCAACTGGAGAGAGCCCAGGACCCTTCAAGTGTCCTTGGCCGCACAAGGGTGGCTCCTCTCACAGAATTATTCTGTTAGGCTGCCTTAACTGGGTTTCACTTGTTTATGAGGGCTGAGAGACAGAGAAATTGATAAAGAAGAGATAAGAAGAGCCCCAGGCATTGGCTCAGAGGGTCAGACTGCTGATAGTGGCTGGCTGCTGGCACAGCTCCGGGGCAGGGCCGAGGTGCTGGGGCTGTGTCCAGGCTGCAGCTCCAGAGGGGTCTTCCCTGAGCCCAGGTCATGACACCCTCACTTCAGCTGCTCCAGCAAATGTCAGCAAAGGAGCTTTTTGCAGAGGGCAGCTCTGCGAGTTGTGTTTGCACATCCAAACACGTGAGGTGGCCCCACATGTTCCCCAGCTCTCTGAGGGCATGGGAAGGGATGTGGGGCAGGCACAGAGCAGCTCTGGGGGGTGCAGAGGAGCCAGGGAATGAGGGAGCTGGCCAAGCTGTGGGTGATTCTGGTGACAAAAAGCATAAATTTGGATTCCTTAGGAAGGTGACATAACATCTGTATTCCTGGCTGCTGAGCCACCCAAATGTGGCCCAGGAATCCTGTTCCAGGACTCACTTCTCTGGGTGTTTGGCACAGCTCAGTCTAAAGCACAGCCTGTTAATGAACAAAACTTTACTTTTGTAAAAGCAAATTGTTTGCTTTTCTTTGGGAAATGCATTCATGGTTGCCCTGTAATGGGTTTTATAATGACCATTTCCATTGCCTAGCTAAAGGGGTTTGGGATTTGGATATCCTTAATTTATGTCACATGACTGAATGTCCTTTCCTCAGTATAAACAAGAGAGCAGTAAAGAATGAGAGTAGTGATAAGAGATTTCAGGATATGGGAAACCTGATTTAGAGCAGACAGGCCACTAAGAGAAGTCAACAGGATACATAAATCATAAGTTTTTGGGTGCTTTGGGAGAAGACAAAGATATTTGACTTAGAGGAAGATATTTCTCTGAAAATTAGACTGTTGCTGGCACAGCTCTTACCAAATTTCATTTCACAGTAGACATTGAAAGCTTCTGAGCCATTGGGCTGGATAGTGTAGACCCCACTGGCCTGCACCCCGCTGTGGTAGAGGGCAGTGCAGTCAGCAGCAGCACCTGGGGAGCAAACAGCCTGTTAGAAATCCTGCTAGGGGTATGCTGAGCTGAGGGCTAGAGAAAAAAATGGGAATGATCATACCAGTAACTCTATTTTACAATAAACATCATGGCACGGGCTGACTGCTTTGGGCATAATAGTGCAGCTGCCAAGGTGTGCATAGGTTGTGTTTTTGAAGTTTGGAAGATTTTGGAAAGTTTCTAAGGCCTAGGACTAGACTCTGGCAAATGGGCTTTCCTACCCCTTGTAAAGTTCCTAGTAAATACCATGCTCACTGCAACACTTCATCAGTGCTTTCAACTTCAAAGAAAGGACTCCTAAATCTTATAATTAGCCAGTGTGAAGGAAATGAGTTCTCTGTTCAGGCTCTACAAGATAGACATGGGTGAAGACATGGTCACAGCATGTTTACAAGAGGGGAATGGATGCTGTTACTGCATTTTTGGGCATTGTTCCTGTGTGCCACCCAGGGACAAGTACAGCTGGAGTGGGGCTAAATAGATAAAGACATTTTTTCCAAAGAAGGAAATCTAATTCCTTCCCACAGCCCAGTGCATAACGTAAAAAAATTCTCCTTTTAAATCTTCTCCTACAAACCAATCCAGGGCTGTCCCAGGGGGTGGTGGGAAGGCAGCACATGCTGTAGTCACATCTCAGAGATGGGGTCTCACCATCAGCTCTGTATGTCCCAGCCGTGGGCCTGTGCACAGCAGAGGGGATGGGCTCTGCTTCCTGCTGCTCCCCCAGGAAGGAATTCTCCAGGAGCTCCAGGAACTCGATGTGGTTTAGCTGCAAGAGCCATAATTACACTGTTAACTTCCCAAGGCTCTGGAATGATGACGTTCATGGATAAAGACAATGTCATGCAGAGAATAATTTTTCTTGAGAGTGTAGCCCTGAGGAATACCCAATTTACCACATAAAAATAACTTCAGCTCCACGCTGGTGGATTTTAGGTGTGGGAATGCCAGCTGTGCCACTGCTCTGACAGGGTAGGACTCATGAGGGGGGAAATGACCCCTTCTCTTGTGGTGCACCTTAATGGGCAAACAGATTTAACTTGTTTAATAATAATTTTTAATGGGCAAACAGATTAGCTTATTTCCTCAGGTGACATCACTTAGACAAATATTACCAACAGCTGAGAAGGACAGAACCCTTGAAATGCATTTTCCTCTGAGAATAAATTAAACCTGATCGTGCTGGTTGTACTGTATTACAGTGATACATGTTGGACTTCCACTCTGGGAGTGGATTTTGGAAATTAAGAAAGAGGTAGAGAGCATTGAGACTTCCAGACCAAGGGAAGAGCAATAATGTGATAGATAATAAGAGAAAAAAACCCCAAATGAACAGTCAGAAATCCAGCAGCCTGGTGTTGAGAGACAAGGTCTCAAAGCTGTTGTTGGCCACAGCTCCTGCCTGGCAGCACTGCAGCCTCTCCCAAAACCTCAGAATGGTCCCCACCTTCCTCTGCACCCCAAACTCAACAAGGGGAGCCTTCCCCAAGGGTGGGACCCTCAGCTCCCTCAGTGTCAGGAGAGATGGAAGGAGAAGCAGGGGTGGTTCCTGTACCTTGTCCTCCAGCTCCGTGATCTGGTTGTGCTGCCTGTCCAGCTGCACGTGCTGGTCCTCCACGATTCTCAGCAGCTGCTTGATGTCATTGTCCTGCTGCTCCACAAAAGCCTGGGGACAGGGAGGGGAGGATGGAGGAGGATTAGGAGCAGCAGGAGACCTTCAGCAGTGCTGCTGCCTCTGTAACTCTTGTCCTGGGGCCAGTTTTGAGAGGCACAAACCACTGAACGTTCCCTTCCTTTTCCAGAGAATCCTAGAATATCCCTAGCTGGAAGGGGCCCACAAAGATCATCAAAATCCAGCTCCAAGATGGATTTTGCCTGCTTTGACTCTAAATTGAAAAAAATTCTTTGCTTCTGGAGCAAACACCCAATTTTTGGAGATAAACTACTGGCAGCTTTGTAGATTCTTTTTAAAATTGCTCTTTTCCTTCCCTTTTCACATCCAGAACAATTTTGTTTTGTGGAATCGGCCCTTGATTCAAGCTAAATAAAAACTGATCAAAAAAGGGAAAAATTCCCAGCATTTAGGGTATCAGCTTGGGATTTGAGAGATCAGGATTCATCTTTTTGCTTTGACACAAACATCCAGTATTTTCCCATACAAAATACTTGGCCTTCTTATACTTCTGCAAAATGCAGTTAATATTTCCTTCTCTAGAGAAAGCCTTATAGCCACCTAACTGCTTGCATGATTAACATATTAATTTTATTAATACCTGTAGGGTTCTTTGGTTCTGGAGGTCCTACTGGTGCTATAAATGCACCTCTCAGAGGTTTAAGCTCCTTGTTTCTACACTGAGCAGGCAGTTCCCACTGGATCGATTTGGGATGAGTTGGTGATGTCCAAACCCATGGGCTTGAGAATCTCATAATTTTCCTGACTGCAAAACTTTTTTATCATTATGATGACAAAATTCCTTCAAATCGATTTGCAAATCAATACTGAAAATAATACAGAGCTTTACAATTTCACAATTTTTCACTGATTTCTCTGGGGAATTTTACTGCAAAATTAACGCTGTGTCAGAGTAAGTGAGTGATTTTTTAAAGGTTATTACAGTGATTTCTTTCTCAAAAAATCAGACTAGTACTCCAGTGAGGTGCAAGGGGAAGCATGAGCTTCTATTGCACAATTACTGGTGATGGCATTGCAGTGTATTTTGGCTCAGTGTGTCAGGGCCTTTCACAAGTCACTTACTTTGAGTGAAGAAATTTCTTTTGTCTCTTGCACCGAAGGCTGGAAAATGGCCAGCTTGGTGATCTTGTCCTCCAGTCCCCACACTTGCTCCTGCAGCTGGATTTTGTTTTGGATGAGGTCTTCAATCTTCAGGTTCATCTCCTGGGAGAGGTTCTTTATCTCCTCGTTGTTGATTTGCAGCCTGGCCGTGGTTTGCCGGAGCTGTTCTTCTTCCTCCTTGATTTCGCTGGTTTGCAGGGAGAGCTCGTAAAAGGACCTGTCAAAAATGTAGAGTTTCTGAAAGATGTCATTCATCTGCCCCTTGGTCTTGTGGACAAAGTCTTTGAGACCGTGCCCCAGCTGGAGGAGTCCATTGGCCAGGATTCGGACATCGTCCAGCATCGCAAATCTCGATTTTGTTTCGGGAGATCCGGCCGAACCCACGGAGAAAAACTCCTTGTCAGCTCCAGCTGGGGGGGCCAGGAATAGTAAAACTGGAATGATCTTCATGTTTCCTGCTCTTGGCTCTCTTTGCTCAGGATGCAGAGGCTTTTCCCAGTGACAGCTAGTGCTCTGTGGCTGTTCTGGGTTGCAGAACTTGATCTATTTATACTCCTCTTCATTTTAGGAGAGGCAGAGCAGCGGGTTGATCATTAAGCTGTGTGTGTTTGAACGAGTGTAACCCCTCCTGAATGTAGGTTGGTACCTGGGAAGATAAAATTGAGAGACAGGCACGTTGCTGATTAAACTGGTTCTGAACTTTTCCATCTGCCAGGCCTTCTGGTGTAAAATGTTATTGATGACACGGTGTTTTTCACACAGCTCTTTTTAATAGGTTAATTGTGGGTCATAATCTCGGTGAGGGTTTAAATCGCTCCTTGTTTGTGTTGTTTGGTTCCCTTTAGTGCCTCAGGAGTGTGAAAGGATTTTACCATGTTTAAGAGCAGTGGATTTTCAGGTTGTGAAGCTCCTTGATGAGCTGTGGAAGGGCAAAATATTCCCAGATGATTCACACAACTTGATTTTCATCTCAGGCCGTTTTCTGATGTAACTCATTGTGCTGCAGTGGATTTACTTGTCATCGAGTCCAGATTAAGTGAGAAAGAGGGAATTAGGTCCAGAGATTGCCTGGATGTGATTCTGCTGTGTTAAGGTTTGTGCAGTAATTTACACCATATAAAACTTATTTTTAAGAGCTGCCTTGCAGAGGTGGGCGAGATAAATAATAACTCACTTGCATTTCTCACCTTAGCATTCTTTTTGCTGTTTAGGATTCACACTGCATGCAGAAAGGCTGCAAGTGCTCTGAAATAAATGCCCAGTTCTGCAGTGGGTCTCTGCATGGAAACGTGGGGTTTTTTGGGTAGTACTGCAGTGTGAGTCAAAGGTATTTCTCTTTCTGGACTCATTCATAGCAATCCAAGAAATCAAAATCAAACATTGCACAATGTGCTTTGGAGAGTTTTCAGGTCTTTGCTAAATTCTTGTATGTTTAGAAATTCTTTCCCTGGACTTTTTGTTGTGTTGTTGATGTACATGTGCACGTATGATATGAAGCATCCATAGAAAAAATGTTTTAAAAACTAAATTTTTACCTCATATGTTGAATTTTTTGTGTGCTCAGGCGTTGGTAATGCACAGGTAACCTTCCCATTCACAAATAAGTACTGTGAAAGTATTTTAGATCTCAGATTAATTGCTGGGGAATATCTTGTGGCAGTATGACTGGGATCAGAGTTACTGGAGTACCTGAAGTATGGAAGAAGAGCAGAAGCAGGGAGATGATCAGGCCCAGCTCTGGGCAGAATAGGGATTCCTTAAAAAAACAATTCTGAATTGTTTTCTGGCATCTGACACAGGGATTTTGGGCTGCAAAACTTGAAGAACTGGTTATAAAATTAAAAAAAAAACAAACCCAAACCAAATGTATAGACATTCTTCAGTCCACTTCACCGTACTTAAGTGGCTCTGGTTTTATTTGGTTTCAAATGAACCATTTTCTTTTTTAACTGTCTCATGCAAGAAATCTTTCTGGTTTATTTTGAATTCTTCCTAACCCCATCACCTCCCAAAAATCTTTATTCTTGGCTTAGTCTTCAGAAAAATATAGGGAATTACTGAAGAAATAGCAATGACCAAGCAACTGGGGATCAGACATTCTACCAGGTTTCTACAGCTTGTGTCCCATGTGCTGCCTGTGCTGCTCAGGCACGACACTGCCTGTGGGGAAGGTTTGTTTTCCAAAGGGAAAAAGCAGCCAAAGGCCTGATGTCAAATATTAATGAAGCACTAATTAGCTGCCAAGCACGTTTCCATATTAATGCCAAGGCCAGTGAAGTCAGGAAGTGCTAAATTCACTGCAGAGCACCCCTAGATGTCACAACAGTCCCAGAGTCCAGAAGAAAAGTGTGACACAGGAAAGCAGAGAGGAGAAAAGCTTCTGGCATGACTAAACCATAAAATTCTAGAGCTTTGGAATCCCTGAGAGGGAATCCTGCCTCTGAGAGTTGTCAGGAAAAGATGTATATAACAAACATGATCCTGAAGATCTTTCATGCACCTGGGTGACCCTGATTATATGGGCTTTAAATGTTTTTTATAGTAGGAATAAAGCAAAGAAAAAGGTCTCCGGGTTTTACTGAAAAGGGAAATTTTCATAATAGGAAAATTCATTCATAGAAATTTTCATTGTAAGAGTTAGGAGCAGCCCTTAATGTTTTAATACCTTTGTGAAGGATTTTGCAAAATGGCTGCAATGATATTACATAAATATTTAGAGGAGTGCCTGGTGCCATTATTTCCATGGCTTGGGAAGCCTTTGCACTTTAGCAATTTATTTTATGGAAGTAGAAGTACTTTTGAGATCTGTTTGAGATAATAGGGTAAGCACTGCATATATTTGGCGTGGCATTTTAATAAAAGCTCCAAACACAAGCCCTTGGGTTTGCAGCTCCTGCCTGAAACTTTGATTGATGGAAATCAAGACATTTATAGTGTTTCTGTCACTTTTTCAGCCATCAGTCCCTTTCCATGGCTGTGTTTAGACAGGAACATCTGAGGTTTTTAGTGATATGGGGTAGAAGAGAGGCTGTGAGAGCTGGGGATGGAGAAGAGAAGGCTCTGGGGAGAACTTAGAGCTCCTTCCAGTGCCTAAAGGGGCTCTAGGGCAGCTGGAGAGGGACTGGGGACGATGGCCTGGAGTGACAGGACAAGGGGTGATGGTTTTAACCTGAGAGTAGGTTTTGATGAGATTAGATAAACTAATTTCTGTTCTGTGTGGGTGGTGAGGCCCTGACACAGTTTGTCCAGAGCAGCTGTGGCTGCCCCATCCCAGGAAGTGTCCAAGGACAGGTGGGACAGGATTTGGAGCAGTTTGGGACAGTGGAACGTGCCCCTGGACATGGCAGGGGGTGGAATGATGTGATCTTTACATCCCTTCCAACCTGACTTGACCAGTGGTAAGGACAGGCAGGATTTTACCATTTGGGATCACATTCTGATTTGCCAGCTGGGCAATTTTTCCCCTTTTTCCATGTAAGTTTTCCACAAAGGGAAGATGCCTGGAATAGGAGACCCTCTGGAGGGAGGCTGCCTGAACAGGGGGAACATCCCTGCCCCCTATTGCAGTGGCATCTGTGCATCTCAAATCCCATAAGAGCTTCTTCCCAGTGAAATGCCCTTTAATGAGGGCTTGAAAAGCAGTGGAGAGGGCAACAACCTGTCCCTTTCCTCAGCATAAATCAATCCTTTGCATAAGCCTGCCTTTAATATAGGGATCCTGTAGCCTGGCTTCACAAATACCTTAAATCTTTCTCTTAAGCACTAATAATACTTAATAAAAGTTTTATGAGCAAGGTACATTTTAGAGTAAATTTTCATATCCATTTTCATTTTAAAAGAACATCAAGCAGCAAATGTATTCATGGCAGAACAAAGTAATTTAGGAGAGTCACAAAAATGGCCCTGGCCCCCTCTGAAATAGTAGGAGAGCGTTGATTTGGCAAAGTGACCAGTGGGGATGGGATTCCAAAACTTAATTCACCATGAAGGACTTGAGAGGGAAGAAATTCCCACTTGCCTGCTAAGCTTATTCCTCTGCCTGCAGGGGTGAAGCAGAGCCTGGTTCATGAGGCTGCCCCAAATGTCCCTGGAGCTGGACTGCTCTTAGGGAATTCCTTAGGATCAGCATTGGTTGTGGCTGTGTAGATGGGACTGTTTGGGGAGCAGATGGAATTGCCCTCAGAGCCAAGGCCTTGGGTGGGATTCGTTGGCCAAAATCTTTAATTAGTGCCAATTCAGGCAGCCAAGGGCAGCCTCCCTTTGCAGCTGCTGCCCCAGGAGTGTGTCCCACCAGTGCAGGTGTTTTGGAAACTCCTGGCATCTAAAAGGCACCAGGTACCTTCCCTGAGTTACTGCCCTCCTGAGAATCCAAAAAAGAGTCTTTTTGTTACCAACCTCCTGCTGCCAGCACTCGACAGCAGCTGTTTTATTGCACCTTAAAAGTTGTCCTGCTGTGCTCCTCACTTCACTTCTGAGCCCATCTGGCATCTGTTGTCTCTGTGGGACAAGGAACAGTTGGAAACCACTCACAAATTGTGTTCAGACCCGCAGAACAGTTCCCAGAGGGAAGGGAACTTCTTTTTCGTCTTGCCTCACAAGCCAGGGCTGTTAGTTCTGCAGTGTTTGGCCAGAATGCAGTGTGCCATCCTTCATCCCTGGGAGCTGGAAGCAGCACTTGAAGCCCTCCCTGAGCTCCCATGGAACCATCCCTGCTGGATCCCCTGGCTGGAGCTGCAGGAGCCAGGCTGGCCAAGGAGGATGGTGCTGGTGTGGTGGGCAGGGCTGTGTGGGAGGTGGAATGGGGATTTCCAGGCTGTTTTTTTAAAGATGTGTAACAATTCATACATTGAGACTTGTTTGGCAGCAAAAGAACACTCATTTCCTTTGGATAACTGAGTGTTGAGGTGGAAAAGTCTGTGGAGGATGTTGCTTTTTTTTTTTTTCTTTTTTTCTTTTTTTCTTTTTCTTTTTTTGCCTTTGAAAGAACATCAAGGAGCTTTGTGTAGATCTAAATTACTTGCACATCTAAATTACTTGCACAAAGGACAGGTAGGGGTTTGTAGTGGACAGTTTTGCTGATGAAGTGTGAATCTAACTTTCACCTTGTCGGCAAGGGCCCAGCAGGGCTCAGAGGACAGAAGATCCTGCAGAATTGTGCATCTCTCATAGCTATTAAAGTAATCAGAGACTTGGAGAAATGGGACTGGAGGGGGTTTCCAGGATGTGTCCCCTGCCCAGCAAAGGCTGAGGTTGTTTTTAAACCCAGCTGGAGAGTGTCTGCCTCACCTGTCCTGAGAAACCACCAGAAAATGGAGGTTTCACACCCTCCAAGGCAATTTGTTCTACTGCTTTAACTCTCCTTACAGCCAGAACATTTTCCCTTGTGCCTCACCTAAATCTCCTCTGCTGCAATTTCCTCCCATTACATCCTGCCACATTCCCTGTGGATGTGATGAGCACTGTATTACTTCAGACTTTGAAACAGTTCTTTAGCTACCTGGGAGTGTTGTCATTACCTGAAGCTACGTGTATCCATTCAGTTTAATCCATTCTCAGAGCAGAAATGTAACCTGAAGTTATCCTGATGTCAGGAGATTTAAAAAAGAAAAGAAAAAAAGGAACAGGCCACAAGAAGGAAGGTATTTAACAAAAACCATCTGCTCTGTGTTGAGCAAATAAAGTGTATGAAGTAGAAGTAAATAAAGCTTTTCTTTCCACTTGAACTTCTCAGATTGTAGAATCACTGGGAAATTTTTAGATGGATTTTCCAAGTACCCTTCCAAACAAGAACTGTTTTGAAATATAGTGAGAGTTTAAAAATGTATTTTGATGTCTGAAATAAGGGGTCAGTCATTACCAAAGACAAATTGTTTGTCTGGGTGTGCACTGCATCTGAGAGAAGAGAAAATGTCAAACCCTTCGTTGTGAGCCTTTCCACAGAGGTTTAAATAACAGCATCAATGAAGGTGTGACCCCTCTCATCACCTGCTGCCTTTGTCTCTTGCAGGAACCTCCTTTATGTGTATCCACAGAGCCTTAACTTCGCCAACCGGCAGGGATCTGCCAGGAATATCACAGTGAAAGTGCAGTTCATGTATGGAGAGGATCCCAGCAATGCCATGCCGGTGAGGGGGGCTCCGTGGGAAGGGCAGGGCACTCCTGGCAGGCAGGAAACCCCTGCCTTAAAACCTCACTGAAAGGCATTTCAAAAGAATGAGTTCAGAGGAATAGAAAGTGGTGTTTTAAAGCAAAGAGTGCATTTGTGTAGAGTTTGTGAGGTAACAGTGGAGCGGCTGGAATTTTGACGTGAGATTATTGATTGTAAGGGTGGTGAGGTCCTAGTAGAGGTTGTCCAGAGAGATTCTCCATCCCTGGAAGTGTTCAAGGCCATTTTGGATGGGGCTTGGAGCAATCTGGGATAGTGGAAAGTGTCCCTGTCTCATTCCTGAGATGGGATTTAAATTCCTTTCCAACCCAACCCATTTGGGGATTCTGGGATTCTGTGTTTGCAGCAGACACTGCTCGTGGTTGGAATAGAAGCTTTGCTTCCATGACAAAAGAATTAAAGGTGACAACTTTGTTCAGGGCCAGCAGTGATCCCCACTCAGAGAGGAGCTGTGCAGGGGTGGTTCCATCCATCAGTTCTTCTGCCATGTCTGTGTCCATGTGTCACTGGAGTTGTTGAAATTGTGCCTTTTCAGTGACTGAGTGAAGTGCTGCCTGTTAGTGAAGAGGCAGGGAACAAGCTGGAACAGGTGCACAATAAATGGAGCTCTAAATGTTCCTGCAGGATTATGGAACAAATTCTTGGCACAGTTTTATAGCGGTTCTGTGTTTCTTTTCCTCTTTTTGCAGGTCATCTTTGGCAAATCCAGCTGTCCTGAGTTTTCCAAGGAAGCATACACAGCTGTGGTGTATCACAACAGGTAAAACACAGCGTGGAAGTGCAGTTAGTCACCAGTAACTGTGTTAATTATTTAACAATCAGTGTCTGGACAGCACTCACAGTGACTGCAGTGCCAGTTGATGCTGTCCTTAGAGTTTTGTGACAACTGGGAGACAGAGTCTTTGTTTGCTGTGGTACAGATCATGTGGAAGTGCAGTTAGTCACCAGTGACTGGTGTTAATTATTTAACAATCAGCGTCTGGACAGCACTCACAGTGACTGCAGTGCCAGTTGATGCTGTCCTTAGAGTTTTGTGACAACTGGGAGACAGAGTCTTTGTTTGCTGTGGTACAGATCAGCTTTGTGTGATCCTGAGCACGTAGCCCAGCTCAGCAGATGCTCCAAGTACAGCTCCAGTCAGCAGTCATGAAGATTTATGTTCCAAACTCACGGGAGCAGGTGTCCCCGTTGTTTTCTTGGAGCCTTTTAGACATTAGGTACAAATTGGAGCTACTTGGTCTTGAAAATAATTCCCTTGCATCTGGGGTGAGGGGTGCTGAATCCAGCAGGAACGCTTTCCTGGCTTTGCAGCTGTGCCAGGGAGAGATGCTCCAGGGAGAGATGCTCCAGGGGAGATTCCTGTCCTGCAGGTTGGGCTTGTGGCAGTGTCCAGATTGAGACAGGAGTTTATTGCTCATGTGGTTCAGAGTGCCTGTGTGAGGAGGAGGTTGCTGCCCATTTTTTTGTGGATTAGAAGTTTTCCCAGTCCTTTTTGATCAGAAAATGAGCTTTAATCCTTTGGGATAGCCCATACACTCCCTTCCCTGCAGATCCTTTAACTCAAAGGGTTCAGTCTCAAGCACAAGGTAGCAAACCACTGTGGGTGACTCAGCTGAGGCTCTGCTCTCTGCACAGATCTCCTGATTTTCACGAGGAAATCAAGATTAAGCTTCCAGCCACTTTGACAGACCACCACCACCTGCTTTTTACTTTCTACCACGTCAGTTGCCAACAAAAACAAAACACACCCCTGGAGACTCCAGTTGGCTACACCGTGAGTGTCTTTCCAACCTTACATTTTTCAGCACAGGATTCATTCAAATGCATTTGCTGGCTCTTTATTTAGCATCCCTGTGAACTCATATACCATTGGAGAGCTTGGGAAATTGGGAAAAGCTCAAAGAAAGCCTTGAGAAATGTGTGGTTTTGTTGTTTCCTTCTCTTTGCAGTGGATCCCGATGCTGCAGAACGGCCGGTTAAAGACGGGTCAGTTCTGTCTCCCTGTGTCATTGGAAAAGCCACCACAGGCTTATTCAGTGCTTTCTCCAGAGGTGAGCTGAGTTCTGCCTGCTGAAAACCAGCAGAATACATGTGAGAAAAAATAGAGGATGTATGTGTACACATCTCTGTGTGTGTATTTATTTATTTCTTACAAACTGTTAAATTTGGACAGAATTTTAGTGTTTGTGTGTGGCTATGTGTGTGTGATCTGACCAAAATAAATGAAAATAAATGAATTTGTAATTAGCAGAGCCTAAGCTCTGCTCTCTGTCACATCCTCTCTCATTCTTCCTCAACCTGCAGGTTCCTCTCCCTGGGATGAAGTGGGTGGACAACCACAAAGGGGTTTTCAATGTGGAAGTTGTTGCTGTGTCATCCCTCCACACTCAGGTGGGTGTCAGGAGCAGTCACTGGAATAAAATAATCTTGTGACAGTTGAAACACTGTCAGAGTTGTTGCTGTGAAGGGTGTAAAAATCCCTTGCAGTGAAATTACAATCTCATTTTCAGTTCTGAGCCAGCACACCTGTTTTTCCACATTCTGCTGTGAGTATATTTGAGAAGTTCTGCTTAAAAAGATGAGTGGTTTGGCCTTAATTCACAGGAGGGTGAATGGCCAACAGTGTTGTCAGCCTGTTGTGTTTGATACAACAGCTCTAACACAGCCCAGGCAAATGATGTTTTCTTGTTCTTGCTTTCTTGTTCTTGTTTTCTTGGTTTTTTGTTCTTGTTTTCTTGTTCTTCTCTTTCCTCTCCTCCTCTTTTGCTTCCTCCCTGTATTTTCCCTCTGTCTGCCTTTGACCTGAAAATAAAGATGACAATCATTTTGTTTAATCATTTCAGCTTTTGTTTTATTAATTCCCACTGTGTCATTTTGATGGGGTGTGCGTATTCTATTTGTGCTGTAAGTAGTAAATGTGATTTTAGTGCATTTTTGTCTGGTTTATCTAAGAATACACAGTCTGTGGGTCCTCTAGTTTTGCCTTGGCAACTTTGAAAGTAGAATTAAATATGGACAGATCTCTCAAAGATGTTCAGTTTCTGCTAATTTTGTGAGATTAAATGGCCAGATAGAAAAATGAGGGTGAGAACCCATCCATGAGACACAAATCCATAGAAAATGAAAATATTTTGGGGATTCTTGCTGATTATTGGCTTTTTGCTTGTTGTAGGACCCTTACCTCGACAAGTTCTTTGCACTTGTCCATGCTCTGGATGAGCACATGTTCCCTGTGCGAATAGGAGACATGAGAATTATGGAGAACAACTTGGAAAATGAACTGAAGAGCAGCATTTCAGCTTTAAATTCCTCTCAACTGGAGCCGGTAGTGCGATTTCTTCATCTCCTGCTTGACAAACTGATCCTTCTGGTAGTAAGACCTCCTGTCATTGCAGGCCAAATAGGTATTTTATTTAAGTTTTATAGAGAATTACATAGCTGAAAGTTTGACACTTCCAATTTTATCATATTTATGTAGACGTAAAAAAGTCCATTTTTATGCTGTATTTTAGTGCCACTAATATACCAAGTGTCTCCCAAATAAAACATGCTGGCATCCAGATCTGGGGTGATATACACGGGAGCAATATTTAATATTTAATGGAAAGCTTGTAAGAAGAACTGGGAATATGGTGTCCAAACTGAGCCACCAGAAAAAGAGCCTGATTTTCCTGGATGCTCAGCATGTTTTTAGCACTAAAGCTTGTTGAGGTGTCTCCATCCTGACAGAAAATAGGGATTTCAACCTTATTGGTCACCTTGGAAAATCTGGATGCTGCATGTTCCTGTTGTGGATCTGATACTGCCAGCATGAATAATCCCTTCTTTTGTTCCCTGTGAAGGGCTAAGCTCTGGCAGTACAAAAAAACTCAAGTTTAAGTCAGAATTAGATCCTTACTATTTAAAACAGCAGTTTTTGCTGGTTTTTTTTATTGGTAGGAAACCTGAGTTTGGACATGGTGGAATATAAGGATCTAAGACTGCTTTAAAAATACTTTTAAAAGTATTTTCTTAGTTATATCAGTTATTTATTTATTTAATCTTTCTGGGAAAGAATTTACCTGCATTTTTATTTTATATTTTTATGTTCTTTCACTCTGTCAGTGTTCTGTACTGGTTTAGTTGGTTTGTATGGAATATTATGGACATTAGTGACTGGATTTATTTAAAATAAGATTTTCATTCTCTAGCTACTGTCTTCTTCATCCTCAATTTTTCTAGAATATCTGCTTCAGTCTGTGTGTAGTTTTTTGTGCTCATTTTCAGAGTAGCTTTTTTCTCTCCACAGAATGAAATTGTTCATTTGATAGAGTTTGTATTTTGGCTAAGACTTACATAGAGGAAATAATTAACTGAGAAAAGCATGATAAATATCCAAAGGGTATTATTCATCAATTAAACAAGGACTTGCTCTTGTTACCATTGCAGTTGATGACCAAAGTTGGGCTGGTTCCAGAAATGGAGCCTAAATTCGTTAAGTTTATTATTAATAAAAGTGGCAGCTGATCACTGGAGCAGCTGACGTGCTCTCAGGCTGGTCAGGCTGGTTCAAACACCAGGCTCAGCTTGGGATGAGCAATGCTTGCTAGGCTCTGAGAAGCTCCACCACTTACCCTGTAGGAGGTGGATGAACAGCACATTTAGGATTTCCCCTGGCTCCTGCTGCAGTCGTAAACCAAATTCCTCCCTTTTTGCTTTCAGTGAACCTGGGCCAAGCATCTTTTGAGGCGATGGCATCGATCATAAACAGACTTCACAAGAACCTGGATGGCAACCAGGACCAGCATGGCAGGAACAGCCTGCTTGCTTCCTATATTTATTATGTTTTTCGCCTGCCCAACACTTATCCCAACTCACCATCACCAGGTAGCTCTTTTCTTTTTCATTTTATTTCAAGTTTGGTAAAAGAAAGCAGAAGCCACTTGCAGGCAGGTGTTCCCGAGTTCCAAATGTGTGGCTGCTTCCCTGCAGGGCTCTGTTATTAATTTGCCAGTGTAGCCACTTAAAAGATGAGTTTAATTACTGTTAGTTGTGTCAGATTCAATTATTTGATTATTTTAAATAAGTGTCACTGCTGAAGGATCGTGAATTATGGCAAAAAAAAAGGATTTTAGGGTTTTTTCTATGAGACAGGTGTGATGCACTCCTGGCCTGTCGTGTTTCCCAGTCTCCCTCACAATAACTTTTATACTTTAATCCATTTCCAGCAAAAAAGTTTAAACACTGGCTGGATAGAATAGATATCCAAAGGGTATTATCCATCAATTAAACAAAGACTTGCAGTTGATGACAAAAGTTGGGCTGATTCCAGAAACAGAGCCTAAATTCATTGAATTTATTATTTATATAATATTTTTACGTATTTTAATGCATGTGCCTATATATACCCATATGTACATACATACATATATATATAAAACATGTTTTTATTATTATGTATACCTATAAAATATAGACATATTTAAAACAGAAGTGCAAAATACTAGAAAACACATGTCTGAGTGCAGGAGGGAAATAAATTAATCCCAGCTGAGAGTGAGGGATGGGAAAGAGGTGGTTGTGAGTGACAGCCATGGAAAACCAGGTTTTGGAAGGAATGTTCCTGCACAGAGTGGGGAAGCTCTGAGAGGTGTTGGGAAGGTTTTGTACCTAAAACTGTGCCCACCTTGAGTGTGAGGTCTGGAAAACATCCTGTTAGCTAAAGACAATCCCGTAGGAAGCCTGTGGATAAAACAGCTTTTTGTTCCCATGCTGGACTGACTGGGCAGGAGAGGCCTGGGTGTCCTGAGGGGGTCTGGGTGATGGATGGCCAGGCAGGGCTGGTCCTGAGGGGGTCTGGGTGATGGAGGATGGCCACAGTGACCAGACAGAGGAGGCCTGGGTGTCCTGAAGGGATGGCTGCACTGCCTGGGCAGGGCTGGCTGTCCTGAGGGGCTCTTTGTGAGGGGTGATGACACTGACCGGGCAGGGCTGGGTGTCCTGAGCGTGAGGGATGGCCACACTGACCAGGCAGGGGAGGCCTTGCTCTGGGTGAGGGATGGCCGAGCTGTCCTGAGAGGCTCTGGGTGAGGGGTGGCCAGGCTGTCCTGAGGGGCTCCGGGTGGGGGATGGCCAGGCTGACCGGGCAGGGCTGTCCTGAGGGGCTCCGGGTGGGGGGTGGCCGCACTGACTGGATGTCCCCACAGGTCCCGGCGGCCTGGGGGGCTCCGTGCACTACGCCACCATGGCCAGAGTGAGGGGTGGCCGCACTGACCGGATGTCCCCGCAGGTCCCGGCGGCCTGGGGGGCTCCGTGCACTACGCCACCATGGCCAGGTCGGCCGTGCGCCCCGCCAGCCTCAACCTGAACCGCTCGCGCAGCCTCAGCAACAGCAACCCTGACATCTCCGGCACCCCCACCTCGCCCGACGACGAGGTGCGCTCCATCATCGGCACCAAGGTACGTCCGTCCTGTCCTTCCTGTCCTGCCAGGGACCCCTCAGAGCCCCAGCACCTCCCAGTCCTTCCTGAGTACCAGGGGAGGGCTTGGGGGTTGTCCCAGCCTCTCCTCAGCCCTTTCCTGGCTGTTGCTGGTGCGCCCCTCCTTGGAAATGTTCCTGACTTTTGGAGCCGTCCTGGAGTGCTGCTTCCACTCCTGCTGAGGGCAGGAGTCCTTCTGGATTGGTCTCCCCCTCACTTTTTGCATGGCCAGCAGCCGAATCCTGTGCCCAGCTCTATTGTGTCCCCCCAAACCTTGCACCCCCTTACCCCACTCTTCCCTCCCAATCCCAAACTCTCTCTTCTCCTTTGCATTCAGCTGCTCAGGTTTCTCTACTCCTCGTTTCCAGAGTGGGTGTCTTGCACACAGCAGGAGCATTCTTGCTCCCTGCATGGCCCAGAGAGGATTTAGGATGCACACCTCCCCTGTGAGGGGTGCCTGAGCTGCTTTGGGGTTCCCTCTTTTTAATAAATATTCTTCAAACTGTTATAACTTCATCAGGGTGAGACTCTTTCCCACCATGACCTTTCACTCTTCCAGCACAGATGAATTCCTGAGCCCTTTCAGGGAGGCTGATTAATTTCCTTTGGAAGTTTAGGGAGCAAGGTTGTGACCACAGCCACCACCCTGACCAGACAGGCTTGATTTGGCTGATGCTGGGTTTTGTAAGAGCAAGAAAAACACAATTTGAGGAAGAGGTACCAATTTTAAATGAGTAGCAGCATCATTTGCTGACCAAATAAGAGGCTGAAGAATTGTGGGTAGGCAAATGATTATTTCTTACATCAAAGTCTGGACTTAGAAGTCTTGAAATATTTTAAAGACCACTTCAGTATCTTGCTAATTAAACAAGCCTGACCTTTTGTGAAATGCCACAGGCACTGATGTGCATATGGAATTTACCCAGGCTATCAGAAGTTTAACGTGTGCTGGCTTGGTGAATAATGTCACAGTACAAAATGAAGAGGTGTACTCCAGGCTTTAAAGGAAAACCTGTTCCGTGGATAATTGTTGAGGGAAAAGTTTCCTGTAGGGTAGTCTGAGCATCAGGAATTAACCTCAATCTGGCTATATACAGACTTTTGGTTGAGTAGAATTATTTCTGTTTCTTAATATCAATAGACAAAAATAAGACACTTCTTGAGATGCTGACATGAATAAAAGGGTGGAAAAATCCCTGTTGTTTCTCCAAGTAATGGCTTAAGGAATATTCCCAGATATGTTCTAATTTGAGGTGCAAGTTCCCAAACACAGGAAGTTTTCTGCTTTAAAACAGCTCATATTGTGGGGTTTTTTGTTGTTTGAGGGAGGTCTTCAAAGTCCAGTCTTGTGTTATTTTTTTATTCTAATGTAAGGTATTTAGAGGTGTGGTATAAGTGCTTTAAGTCTCCCTTATCACCTTCTTACTTCATTTGAAAACTCTTTACAGAATTTGGAAGATCTCTGTTCATTGTCACAGCAGAGGAGATCTTAGGTCTGTCACTTGTTTTGCCATCATTTGTGAATTGAAGCCATGTAAATTTTATTCCCTACTAAAGAAAATTTATTAAATGTCTAAAAAGACATATTTAAAGTGATCCTGGAATGCTGGAGATGTGTTGGGAAAAACCCAGAGGACGTTGTGGGGTTTCATTGCTCTGCCAGTGGATTTTCACAGATGTGGGTTATGTTCTGCACAGACCCAGCTGCAGGTTAAACCCCAGGGGCAGCACAGAATTTAACAACAGCTTTGTGAACTTCGGAGTGACTCTGCCAAGCAATAAGAAGCTCTCTTACTCTTTTGTTTTCCGAAGAGGAAAGAACCCTTCCCTTTCCAGATTGTTACAAAATGACTTCTGCTTTTGCAAACACAGTGTGTGTTTAATTGTTATCCTCAGAACCAGAGCGACAAGATTAGGAAATCCTGAGAGAGAAATGTGAGGGGGATAAAGGCATTCTCAAAATTAGTCCTGATTTTACAAAACAAGAGCTTAGTTCAGCATTCTGCAAAGCCCTTTCGACTTTAAATCACTGTGAGCAAAATAAAGCATGTTTATGGGGCTGAGCAGGGCACAGGTCTTTGATTTATTCCTGCCAAAAAGTAATTGAGATTAAAACACTCGCCTTATGTGTTCAGTATTTTTTTTATTGGACATCTTAAGCAAAATTACAGCACTGCTGAGCTCTGCCTGGAGGAGCTCGGTGGATTAATGGTTTGAATCCCAGGTTACAGCTCTCACGCCAGGTTCAACCTTGAGGTGGATTTTAGTTTGCTGAGAGAAGTAGATGATTTGGCTTGGTGGACTTTGCAGCTGATGCTGATCACTGGGATGAAATGGGCTCCACCTTTGCTTTGTGTATTGGGAAAAAGCCCTGAGTTGGCACAGAAATGAGGATGGAAGCTCTCACTCAGGTGAGGGTTGTCAAAATCTATGTGTAGTATTTATAAGGAATTGTGTCTGTCAGAGCTCCTTCCTGGGACCCAGGGAAGTCCACTCCATCCCCCTGAATGTTCCTGATTTGGGAGCAGCACAAGTTTGAATTTTTCCTTCTTGAGTGTCTCAAGGAGAAGAGAGCAGACAGAGGAAGGTTCCACAGTGATTTTGCCAGAGTGATCCATTGCAGTAGAATTTGGAGTACAGGCTAGATTGAGCTTTTGAAAAGCAGGATGGTTTTTCAAATGTTTTGCTTGGAAAACAGGTTGGTTCCAGAAAAGGTATGTGCTCTTTCCTCCCTTTGCCACAGTGCCCAGGGGAAATGCCCAAGTGTCCATGTGAAATCCTGTCCACAGGTTATTCTGCCAGCAGTGCTGGGCTTTTATTCCATAGGCAGGGAACCCTGTGAGGATTGACAGTCAGCCTCTTCAGTTTCTCAGCATTTCTGTAAGAACTATAGAGCTTATGAACTCCAGGCTGCCCTGAAGTGCTGGAAACCTTAGAGAGCATCCTCACATCTCAGCACCAGTTTTCCTCTGTCACAGTGTAAATCTCACCTGGCTCCACGGGAATGGGTTTAAACTGAGCAAAGGACAAGCAGGATTTTTCAGGAGGAGAAGAGTTTTTGAATGTCAAGCATTCCAGACAGGACAGGCCAGACCAGAGCTGTTGACAGGATTAATGTTCTGTATGTATGTGAGATATAAAATAATCCTCTGGACTCAATGTGTAATCAGGCACCTGAGAACTCAGGTTCTGAGTGCTGATGTGTTTGCAGTGTACCCACTTTGATTACTTGTAAGGACTGAACTTTGACTACTGTATGGCATGCAACATGTAATATTTCTTTCCTTTCCCAACTGCTTTCTGTCACATGCCCAGGGCTTGGACCGCTCCAATTCCTGGGTAAACACTGGTGGTCCAAAAGCAGCCCCATGGGGATCCAACCCCAGCCCAAGTGCAGAGTCAACACAGGTGGTGTCTTCGGTTGAGGTTTTTCTGCCTTTGTTTTCCCTGATGTTTTCCTGTAGAATATCTTCCTTTCAGTGCATTTTCCAGTTTTGATGGTTTCTTTTTTTTTGTTCTGTAACTGTTTATTTGAAGACTTTTCAGTTTGATTTTATAAATTCTCATTCCCTCCCCCTGCCCACAACTGCATGAAAAACCTCTGATCGCGTGAACGTGTCCCCTCCTTTCATTTCAGTGGTTGCTGGTCTGTGAAATGTAAATGCTGTGACTGCTTTTGTTTTCTTTTTTTTCTCTTTCTCTCACACTAGTTTCAGCTTCAGGTGGAGCACATTTCTAAGTGGGAACATTAATCACAGCTTCATAGTTTTGTTCATGTTTGCCATTCCTTTCGATGTCGTGAACCATTTTGCCATTCTCATCAAGCATTTAGTACTCATCATCCAGTAATCCTTCATGACTTGTTTGAGTGGAGTATTGTGAACCCAAATTGATTGCCACATATGAAATTCTCTCTTAAAACATGTCAATTTGAATGCTGGAGGCAGTGATCTGCCAGGGACAATTGTATTGTTCTGTGTTGCAAAGTATGAAAACTTTACAGCAGCTTCAGTCAGGAAGAGTTTATTTAGCCCCCGTTGCCTGCTGCTCTCCACTGCATGGATGCCTTGAACGTACCTCTCAACTGCTCCTCCTTCCCAGTTTATCAGCCTTCCCAAAATATTTAGTCCAAGTTCACTTGGATTTGCTCTCGTGGCAAATCATTTCCATCAGAAGCAGAACTTGAGTGATTTTCCCCTTGATGGCAGCAGCAGCAGCGTGGCTGTGGGTACATCCCCCCACGCTTGGCCTCTGGTAGATTGAGAGGTATGGGCTGAAATTCCAGATATTACCTGTGCATGTTGATAAAATGCAACGATGGAAAAGTTTCATGCTTTGCAGCGTTGTCTTTGTGCATCAGAACATGCAGTTCTTTTAATAACCTGTATGTCTTAAAACCAATCAGAATTGCTGTCGTTTTGTTTAGACCCAATCCGTAAATGCCTAAGAGTTTGAGAACGCTTAAAAAGCTGTAAAAACCCTACAGTTGGAAGAGTATTTTTGTAAACGTTCGTTGTCCTTGAGCTGCAAAACCCATCCACGGCAAACTTTAATGTCCTGTCATCATTCATTCATCTCCACTCCGTAGGCTACGGATCGAAGTTGTAATCGTATGTCTTCGCACACTGAGACGTCAAGTTTCTTACAAACATTAACAGGACGATTACCAACCAAAAAGGTAGATTTCAGTGGAGACAATTGATATTGTGGGGCAGGGAGGTCAAGTCATTCTGAAAACGTGATGCAATTTATTCTTTTATTTATAGCCTGATTATTTTTTTCCTCCCCGAGATCATTAGGAACTGCTGGTGCTTAACACCTCTGAATATCCAGGCTGTAGGGAATGTGAAGTATTTGGAGCTGAATTGGGAAGAATTAAATGATCAGGAGTTGCTTGTCTGATTTAATGGCCATAGTGTTTGGGGCCAGTTTATTACTGGCTTTCAAAAAATATGAATAGCACTGTCTAGACACGTAAATGATGCATTTTGTGTGCAAAATGAAAATGTGTTGGATGGCTCGGTGTGCTGAGCTCGCTTATCCAGGTGTTAATCCAGAGAGACTCCAGAAAGGGAATGGGAGTCACTTTGAAAGTGAACTCCCTTACAGGAAATGAGAACCTTGTAAACAATGTCAGAAAGGCAAAATGCCAGAGCTTTTGTGTAAAGAAAATGTGGCCACTGGCACTGTCAGTCTGTGGGTTGATCTTTTCCGAGAAAAGAAATCCAAGAGCTGTTTGAGCCCCGTGTTTCTTTCTTACTGTTTTAAGTCCTTTCTCACAGTAAATATACATCTTTGTACAAATCATTTTATATGTCCACTTTTTACTCCTTTTTCCTGCGAAAATCAGACCAGGCAGAAAGGTAGACTTTTTAAACTAAACTAATTTGAGCACCAACCTTTTTTAAAATTATTATTTCTTGGGGGCGGGCGGAAAATTCTTTTGACACTTGAGATTCAATCCTGGAGCGAGATGCTGTGAAACGTTTCTCACATCACATGTCATAACCTCATCCCTCATTGTTAGCTGGGGATTTCTTTATGGGATGCCACCACTGCTGCCATGTCCTCAGTTATTTAGTTTGCTTAACTCATTGTTTGCCATACTTGCCACGGACCGTGCTGACATTTCTCATGGGGGCTGTGTTGGGAGCTGCTCTGGAGGCTCGGGCTGACTCTGGCTTTGACTCTGTAGCTTTTCCACGAGGAGCTGGCCCTGCAGTGGGTTGTGTGCAGCGGGAGCGTGCGGGAGGCGGCCCTGCAGCAGGCCTGGTTCTTCTTCGAGCTGATGGTGAGCAAACACCTCCCTGATGTCTCCCAGCCCCTGCTCTCCAACAGAACCAGCAACAGCTGCAAGTGGCTCTGCTGTAATTTATATCCCCATAGGTGAAGAGCATGGTGCATCATCTGTATTTTGCTGACAAACTGGATGCGCCGAGGAAGAATCGTTTCCCGGAGCGCTTCATGGATGACGTGTCTGCACTGGTCAGCACAATCGCTGGTGATATAGTCTCCCGCTTCCAGAAGGTGATGGCAAACAATTACACTGAGCCCAGCTCAGCCACCAGCCCTCCTGCCTCTTTTTTGCTTGAAAACACACAGGGTTCTTCATCTGTTTTCTGGTTTTCTCTTCCTTCTCTCCAGGACACGGAGATGGTGGAGCGGCTCAACACCAGTCTCGCGTTTTTCCTCAATGATTTGTTGTCCATCATGGACAGAGGATTTGTTTTTGCTCTTATTAAGACCTGCTACAAACAGGTGAATGCAGATAAACATTGTGGCTTAACTGAACCGTGGCAGAACCTGTTATATTTGTCTGGACAGACAGCAAAACACGGACACAGAGTTCCGCTGCTCCGGTCTTCTTAGAGCAGGGCATTCTCAGAGGTGATTTAGGGTTTACGCCTCTCTGATTACTCTCTTAACTGTTAATTAGGAGTCACTCCCTGGAGTGAATGGGCAGGCAGCAGGGAGGGAGAATTATTCCCTCTGCTCATCATATTCAGAGTAATTGAATCAAAAATTAGTGGGAGGTTCTGTGAGGGAGCACAGACTGTCATGGTCTCTTAAGGACACGGTGACCCTGGATGATCATATTCATCACTGAGCTCCTCTTCCATCCTTTGGGGCATGCAAGGTGTCCTTCCCCACAAGGAGGGTACCTCTTTTGCAGTGTGACAAGGAAATCACCCTGGACCACAAAGTTTTGTTTGACTACAAACATCCATTCTGACACAGTGTACAGAAGAGATAACAAGGGATCAGTGAGAAGTGGGACTAAGCTTAGACTCATTTTCCCTGTAGAGTCTAGAAAATTCTCTGCAAGGGGCAGAAGAACAGCAAGAGCATTTAAGATTTTAAGGTGCCTACTGTATATTATATATATCATGTGTCATTAATTATATTTTTATATATAAAAGATATATGCATAAAAAACAACCTGCATCTTGGAGCTGTTAGTGCATCACACTATGGTTCTCCAACCTGCTGAAATCAATAGGATGTGGGAATTACAGAAACAAAGAATGGTTTGGGTTGGAAAGGACCTTAAAGATCATCTTGTTCCAAGCCCCCAACAACTGAAGCCCACAGTTCTTCATTTGGTTATTTGAATACTACTGGTGTATAGATCTTGTATTGAGAGACATGTCTAGGATGTGTGTGGCTCCTGCACATCAGGAACTGCATTTCTGGCACAAAAAAAGTGCTGTGGGCGTGGGTGTGACCATTTAATGACACCAAGCTCTCCAGTTCTTGCTTTGGGAGTGATTTTGGGGAGCAGAGGTGGGCAGGGGGGCTCACCTTGCAGTTACACTCTCTTTTGGTGCTGACTGCAATGCTGTGGCCTGGATTTTCCAGGTGTCTGCAAAGGTGTATTCCTTAACAAATCCAAGCAACCTGGCCTCTCTGAAGCTGGACTTCCTGCGCATCATTTGCAGCCACGAGCACTATGTCACCTTGAATTTACCCTGCAGCTTGCTCACACCACCTGCATCTCCATCACCATCCGTGTCTTCAGCCACTTCCCAGGTACTGAGAAATTTGGGAAATACAAGTTGAGCTCAGAGCTGAGAATTAAATCCTCTGAAGGCAGTTGTATCACTGTACCTTCAGTCCCTCTTGCTAGTATTTTTGGAAGTGTTTAGTTAGAAATCAGTTTTTCCTGCCACAGAGGTTCTGATTTCTTTTAAGCTTTTATTATTGAGGAAAGAGTGCCCATATCCCTCTCCTGGTAGTGACCACACACTGTCCTTAGGGACTTGGTGTCCCCTGTTGTATTGGACAGACACAAATAAGCTATAAAGGAAAATACTTTGTCCAGTGTTATCCTTTTCTGGCAACACAAGTGACTTCAGAGCTCCCTGCAGCTTAGTCCTGGCCTGCTCAGGAAAAGTAATTTGAATTAGTGTGTCATTCAAGTGGATTAATTAGTTCCAAAATCACATGAACTAAATCAAATTAAAGCTTTCTTCAGCTTGGATAAGAGCATCCTTGAGTTAAAAGTTTAACCAATCCACTTTTAAAGGTTATTTAGTTTAACTTTGATAACAGGGGAAGACAGTAACAACAAACAGAATTAATGGAAGGGTTACTGAGCTGGGATGGAATTTAAGTGTAGATGTGCCTTGATCCCAACAAAAAAGAGAAAAGGTGTAACATTGTCTTTAATTCTGAAAACTGCTTCTTAAGTATTTCCTAAGCTTTGACTCTGTTCATGATGCAGCTTCTGAAACTTGATTTTTTCAGAGTTCTGGGTTCTCCACAAATGTCCAAGACCAGAAGATTGCAAATATGTTTGAGTTGTCTGTGCCTTTCCGCCAGCAGCATTACCTGGCCGGGCTGGTGCTCACAGAACTGGCTGTCATTCTAGATCCTGATGCAGAAGGGTAAATCTTCACAAAGTTTTGTTTTTCAGAGAGCTTTCTGTAATTCCAAGCAGATAGTGGATGCAAAGAAAGTCCTGGCATGGCCAGAATTTACATAAATTAGTCAGTTATGATAAGAAAACAGCGATTTAAGAATCTTCTTTCTTCTTGCCCCTTCTGTTTCTTCCTTCTCCCAGGCTCTGTAAACCTGATTTCAGTCACATTTTTCCAGCTGAGAAGAGGTTCCTGCTGGAGCCCCCAGATGCCACAGGGATACTGCTGGAGCTCTGAAAGGAAAATAGCTTTTCTCAAATGTAACAGGAGAATAATTTCCAACATTTAGGAAGCCTCTCTTGCTGGTGGTTTTAAATGTTACAATATATTTTGCCTGTGGGTCTCCCAGCTCTTTTTAACTGTAAATTATGCATTGATGAGGCCCCTGTGGGTTACACAAATAGACAAATAGAGTCAAGCATGCAGAGTTTGTCAGTGACTCGCCTGGCTTGTGCAGCAAATAATTTTCTGCTCTGGTCCTGACATCCAGTCTGTTCCTTGTGTTATTTAGGGCTGTCTTCTGCCTTGCCTCTTTAAAATGGGTTGCAATGGAAATTATTGATTGCTTCCACAGTCCTGAGTTCCCTCACAGGCATTTTTCTGAAGGTGGACTCAGAAATATCAGCCGAGTCGACAAATGCTGATGATTCATGGTTAATTCTGCCCCTTTGCCAAGAGGTCTCTGGAGTTAAACATTCATTCTGTTTCCTCTTGGAGAAGAAAGTGATGCCATAAACTGGAATATTTTCCTGTATATATACATAACACACTGCAGTCCCATTTGTTTGGCCAGAAATGGAAAAAGCAGCAAATCTTTACCCATATGTGCTGTCTGCAGAAATCCTTTTTGTGCCAGAGGAGCATCCTGCTCACTGTTTAGAAATCAGGCCCTGTCTCTGAGTGTGTCTGCCCTTTTTCTTCACAAACTTTCTGTTCTCTACCTGCCTACCAAGCCCTTAAGCCTGACCCAGGATGGTAGTCTCTGCAGAGGAGTTTGCTGGTGTCCCCTGGGGAGACAACTCCTCTCAAACCTTGTCTAGCCAGAAGAAGGCTCCTGGTACCAGTTCAGCTCTGGAGATGCATTTTGGTCCAAGCTCCTGAATTTAGGGCAGATGTATACCTGTAAAGCATTTACTTTTTACTGTTTTTCAGAAAAACCTGGAGTTTTAGGTTTGTTGAGTTCTCAGGTTCAAACCCTCTGCATTTCTCCTGGTAGATCTATCAGATAAAGTAAACCAAGAATGTTCAGATCTGCTCTTCCCTTGCTGTGAAGACTTTTAACAGTCATACATGATCACCAGAAGAGACTTCACACTTGCCTTCCATAAAATATTGTGGCCACCACTGGGGAGAAAGCTCAGAATTGTTCCCAGTTCATTATCCTGCAGCAGGAGTGGAAAGGGATGTTCATCTGGTTGCTTATTGTCAGAGACCTGCTTTAGGCCTTGATAGATGATCCAGAGCCTTAAATGTGTTCTGTCCTTGCTCTTTTTGCTCCATTAACATGATATGTTTAGTTTTAGCTCATTTTATAAGAACTCTTTGGATTGAGTTGGACAGAAAAGGAGTCAGCTCCCTGGTGCCTGGAGGTGTGTGTTGGATGCATCCCTCAGTGTGGCAGGGTACAGAGTGACAGGGTACAGAGCAGCCCTGCAGAGCACCTGCAGCCTGAAAAACAGGATAAACAAAGCGTGCAGGGGAAGGGATCCAGCTGAACGTGACAGTCCCAGCATCTGGGCTCTGCACAGTTGTCTCTGCAAACACTGCAGGGGTGCTTTGGCCATCACACACAGTGCCCACACTGCCCATCCTGGCTGAGGGTGCAGGCCAGAAGTGAGAAAATCAGAATTGAGCCCTCAGAGTTCAGTGCCAGAGTCGGTTTTGCACAAGTGTGGGTGTGTGTTGACAGAAATCCAGGCCAGGGCTGAGATAAGGGAGGGGAGGGAGGGAGGTGAGATCGATTCGTTGCCTTATCAGGCAGGAAGAGCAGGGGGCTGCATTTCCTCCTCTCCACCAGGGATTGATCCACCACAGTGCCCACCCAGCTCTGGGAAAGTGACAAAGAAATCTATGGATCCCTAGGTTGGAATTATGCAGCCTTGCTTGGATGTTTTCCTCATCTGCAGTTTTATGGCCTGTGGAATAGTTTCCCTTGGAATTTTTAAAAACACGATTTAGGTGCCACTCCTTCACAATAATACAAAGACTTTTCTTTATCCTTAATCTCAAGGAACCAGTCACTTAAATAAGCACTTCCTTCCTAGTTGTTAAAGCTCTGACTAATTACACAAGCAAGCAATTGTAGGATCTCATTATGGCTTGATTAAAAGCCACAGGGAGGACCTGCAGCTCCAGTAGCTGATGTCCTCCCAAGCTGTACTGCTGCCTTATAGTCAACTTCAAACCCCCAAAAATCCAGTCAAAGCCTCTTTTTTTAACCAGAACTCACCTCTACTTTTCAGGTAAAATGGATACTGCCTGAAATTCAGCACTTGTTTTAATACCTCAGGTCTGAACATTGCAGCTTATGTTTTGCTACTGCCTAATGTCTGAGCTTCCTTGGCTGCTTCATGCATGGGGTAAAGTGTCTTCTTGGCTGGTTTGCCTACAGAAGCAAATAGCTGCAGAGAGAACCTGCTATTTGCTCTGGGAGAGTTTTGCCTCTGCGTGGTGGCTGAGGGGATTGAAAGGAGCAGAGTCCTTGAGAGATTCAGGGGAATTTTTGTGTTTTCAAGGAGGCTCACACATGGTGCTCTGTAGAAGGGCTCTGCCAGTGTTTGCATCTTAATAATGACAGAAGCCATTTTGGCCATTTTTCCTTCTATCCCTTCATGTCTTTGCCACTTTTTATTCAGAATTTTGGATCTGTAGTCTCCTGTTTTGGTTCAATAATTGCATGGGGTAGGGTGGGGAGCTGAAGCAGAAACTTCCTGATCATTTGATTAAAACAATGTTCTGGTTTGGGAGGGTTTGTCTCTCTGTAAATGGTGTTAAAAAGAAACAAAAAAAGAATGCAATGAATAGTTTTACTGAACCCACTGTCCTCTCAAGTTTCTTTCCCTGTTTTCCATATTCTCTAAGTTTTTCTAAGAGATTTTAGTAGATTCAATGCTTCAGCATAGCAGTAGCTGGGACTTCGGGGGTTTTTAATGGAATATATGAGAGTGTTCACATTATACTGGGTGTGCATTCCATGAGATATTTTTGCCCATTTTACAAGGCACAGTGAAAAACCATCCAACCATCTGTAAAATCCATGGGAGATCAAAAAAACCCATGCAACAGCAGTTCGCGTGAAATTAAAAATAAAAAACGGGATTTTTTTTTCCCTTTTTGAAGCCCCTTAGTTACAAAAGAGAGTTTGCTTTGAAGATATTAACTAATGTGCATGACCCAACTGTCTTTTAACAGATTATTTGGATTGCATAAGAAGGTCATCAACATGGTACACAACCTGCTGTCCAGCCACGACTCGGACCCGCGGTACGCTGACCCCCAGGTAAAGGCCCGGGTGGCAATGCTGTATCTACCTCTGATTGGAGTGATCATGGAAACTGTGCCTCAGCTCTATGACTTCACAGGTATTTGATATTCTCTGCCTTGGCTGTCTGCTCGCCAGACTTGGGTGTTTGGGTTCTGAAATTGAGTTATGAACGCCTTTGCTGTCGGATGAAGTTGTTTCTGAGTTGTGATTTTGACATTTTTTCGTGTTTGTTTTCACTTGTAAAATGTGCCTTCAGTGCCTGTTAGCACTCAAAAGTTGCATTTGCCCACTTATTAGCATGAAATAAAAAAAAAAAACCAGTGCATTTTAGTTTACATCCCACTGGCTGATGTCAATGCAGAGCCAGCTTCTGTCTATATCTCTGACCTGATTAAAAAGTCACCCCTCACACTGTACCAAGGGATTAGCAGAGTTTCTAATTCCAAAGGATCAGCAGAGTGCCTCTTCCTCCTATCATGTGCTCCATCAGCAGTTCATTTTCAGGGGTGCTTTGCAAAGTGTCCCAGAGAGCAGCAAGAAGTTATTTCAAATCAGGGTAGGGGTCCAGTCAGGAATAGTTTGGAATTTAGAGTTCTCCTCTACATCCTCTGAGTTTCATGACACAATAAAGCTGCAAGAAGGGATTTGGAGTATTCAAAGAGACAAAAGGTCTGTTGTTAGGAGGGTTTCAGGTACTGAGGTTGTGTAGGTTGAATTTGGGAATTGCTTTCTTTGCTTTCATGCCCTCAAATCATTGTCCTGTTCTTTGCAGGACCCCTTGAGTGGGATGATTTTTAGTTTGCATTCCCAGTTCAGTGAGACCAGCACTGTGGATGGAGTCTGGGGGGTGAAGCCTTGATTTGGGGCTTGACTGAAGTCCTGTATTTCTCTGCAGAGAGCCACAACCAGCGGGGGAGGCCGAGCTGTGTTGCCGTGGACGATTACGAGAGCGAGGGTGGCAGCATGATCAGCCAGACAGTGGCCATGGCCATTGCAGGGACTTCTGTCCCCCAGCTCACCAGGCCCAGCAGTTTCCTACTCCCTTCTTCGGTACAGATCCATCTCTCCCCATTTCTTGACCCTCAATGTGTGTCAACCAGCAAATATTCAGCAGGTTCTGTGGGGGACCCACTTCAGTTTGTAGCTGGGTGTGCAGGGTGGCAACAAGGGGGACAAAGCACATTTGCATGATGCTGTGTGTGTTTCAGAGGGGCACAAGAAAATGCCAGGGAGAGATAGGAATCAACAAACCTCAGAAAGTAGGAGAATTCTCTTTCCTGAAAAAGAAACAATCTTATAAAAGCTCTGTGAAGTGCAGTAGTTACATTGAGCTTTAAGCCCTAAGAACAAAATCTACCCCAGGCAAATCCCACCTAGCTGAAGACAAGGGGGGCCATTTTCCCTGTTCTCTGCACAGAGAGGGAATCCTGATTCTGGCAGCAGGCAGACCCTCCCATTTCTGCCTTCTCTTGCCTTTACTCCAGGACCACAACCCCACCCCATTTTGCTGGGGTTTAGGTGCACTCTCAGTGAGACACTGATAGATGCATGAGATAACATGCAGCCCCTCTGCTTAACCCCTGAGCTGCTGAGGTTATTACAATTATCTCAAGGGAAAAAACTCACTCTGTGGTGATTGGGATGTGAAGCCCTGTCCTGACCTGTGTTTCAGAGTGGCAGGCAGCACTCCACCTTCTCAACAGAGTCCAGCCGCAGCCTCCTCATCTGCCTGCTGTGGGTGCTGAAGAACGCGGACGAGAGCGTCCTGCAGAAGTGGTTCACTGACCTGTCAGTGCTGCAGCTCAACCGCCTGCTGGACCTGCTCTACCTCTGTGTCTCCTGCTTTGAGTACAAGGTACTGCCAAGCTGGAACCCCCTGGAGTCCCTCCTGGGCCCTGCCGAGGACCTTTACGCTCCCATCCTTTACACGACTGCAGAAAGGCATTTCCTGCTCTCTCCAAAGTATTTCCTGTATTCACAATCCCAAGGCCAGGCTTTTCCCATGTTTACTTCCCAGCCATGTGAGTGTCTGTGCCTTGTTCCACTTCTCAAGCAGTTTGTGCTGCTTGCCCCTCATCTGAAACTGCTGCAGTGTCACTTTGAAAAGAGAGTTTTCTGTAGCAATGCTGGAATTTGAGTGTTTTATCTACCTACCAACTTAATCTGTATTCCTTTTTTACTGCATGTCTGTATATATTTTGAGTTGTCAACTCTTAGCAAATATCCCAAATTGAAAGAATCTTCCCTCATGGTTTTGTTTGGAACTTGCAGGGTAAGAAAGTGTTTGAAAGAATGAACAGTCTGACATTTAAGAAGTCAAAAGACATGAGAGCCAAACTTGAAGAAGCAATTTTGGGCAGCATAGGGGCAAGGCAGGAAATGGTCCGAAGAAGTAGAGGACAGCTGGGTAAGTAAAGGAGTCCTCTGTGCCATCCCTTTTTTCCAAAAGCTGCTCCTCCCATCCCCAACAATTATTTGCACCTATCTGTGGTGTGGGATACAAAGAGGCCCCTAGGAAAGCTGTTTGCAGCATCCTTGCCTGGGTCTGCAAAATCTCTATACCTTTCCTAATTTGAAGACACTTTATTTGCTGCTTGATTGCCTTTTTAAGTGAGATCACATCTCATTTATGGGGTGTTCTTGCCTTAGTTTTTTCCAGTGTAGCATCTTCTAGAGTGTCCTGGAAAACAAACTGCCTGATCTTGCTCTGACAGCTCTGAAAATGCCTGGGCATTTCTGCTGACTTAAGGAGACTTGAAGTAGCTGTAGCTGGGCTGACAGGCACCTTCTGATGATTCCTACTTTTTGTAAAACCCAGTAATTTTTATGAACACCCAAAATTCAAAGTGTGGCCCAAGGGCTAGGACAAGAATCAGAGCTGTGTTTTTGTCTCCTGCTCTGCCACACAAGCCTGTCCTTGTGGGCTAAGGTGGATGAGTAGTTTAGAGCCATAATTAAGGAATCACTTCACAGATGGGACCTTGTTTTTTTCTTAATGTGGTTGGATTACTTTTCTTACTTGAAATTCCCTGCCCGCCCAGTAATGAGCATAAAAGATTGTGAGCTGGGAAAGGGGGGTCTTGGCACCACCCTGAGAACATTCCTGGGTGCCAGTCGAGGACAGCAGTGTTGGAATGCTGAGGGTTGGCACACTCAGGCTCCTTGTGCAGTCCAAGGAAGGGACTCCTCTCATCAGTCAGTGTCTCAGCTGCCTCTCTGTGTCTCATGCCACTCAGCAGTGACAGAATTAGGGCCATGTAAACATCCTGGGTGAGTGCCACAGAGCCTCAGGCTCTAGAAAATCATCTTTGTTGCCACCTGCCACTTGTGAGCAGATCTGGAGCTGCTGCTGGTGCAGCTGAAGTGAGCATCAGCTGACTGCTGTTGTTTTGCTGTTTCCCTGCAGAGAGGAGCCCTTCTGGGAGTGCCTTTGGAAGTCAAGAGAATCTGAGATGGAGAAAGGATATGACTCACTGGCGGCAGAACACCGAGAAGCTTGACAAGTAACTCTGCCTTATCCTTCTGCTCTACCCCTGTGCCAGGCCTGTGAGAGCAGGGTCCCCCTCCCCACAGAAGGTCACTGCCAGCAGCCACTCAGCCCTTGTGCCAGCAGGTTTGAGCCCTCAGAGGCATTGGCATAGGGCTGGCATTGCAAAAAAAAAAAGTAAATAGCTTTTACTCCAACGCTGCCCTCCCAACTCTTTGCCTTTCCACTGTCCCTTGCTTCCTTAGACTTCCAAATCAGATTTAAAGAGATTTATATAATCCATTACTGTCTTAAAACCCTGCCCTAAGCTGTAATTTAGAGGGAAGATCCATTAAGAGTTTCCACAGATAGCATTTATATCTCATGTCATATTTCCTTTATTCCATAAAAGCATTCTGGAGTTCTCAAAGCTCGCTTTCCTTTCCTGTCCTAATCCATCACTTTGATTGTTTTTCCACATGTGCTGTGCTTTTAGAAGCCACAAACCAGCCAGGTACTGTAGCATTGGTGTGCAGTTCTTACAAATTGCCATTTTGTACATCTGCAGACTCAATCATCACAGCCTTGTTTGTGATGCTTGGCAGAACTTCTCAGTGTGTGTGTGCAACTGACTGGAATGAGCTCTTTTGGCTTATTACACCCATTTCCTTGAAAATTCCCTCTCTTGGTGTGGTTTAATCCAGAGGGCTCAGGAGTTGTGTTTGAGCTTTGCTGTGCACGTTTTCTGTCTCCTCAAATTGCAACCTGCAGTCTCCATCCTCCCAGCAAAAGAATTGTTCCTTATCCTAGGGAAGGAACCTCAGCCCAAGTGAAGCTCTGAAGAAACTGAGGAATGGGATCCTCAGAGCCCAGATGGAGATCAGGCCAAATTTTATCCTTGCAGACATTGACTCTTCCTGGAGTAGAAAGCAATTCTTCACAGCCTTTACTTGCTTTGTCCCACACAAAAATGTAATTTCTCCTTATGACAAGTCGTGGCTTTTTGTCCAAGGCTCCAGTCCTGTTGAGTCATTGGGAAAGCCAAATGACCAGGGTATTTCACCCTGCTGGTGAAGTGCTGTAGATATAAATTCCAGAGTCACACCAGATCAGAATTTGGCCTGAAGGACTCAGCAGTTCACTGCCAGACTGGGTCTGAGTCCTGTCCTTTCCAGAGGGACCTCAAGTACATATTTAACAGCTGTGATGGTCAAAGGATGGTGTCTCACCTCACAAAATGAGCTGCTTAGATAAAACTCTCTAGAGCTGCTTTCTAACCCTTGCTTGCTGTGACTGGCTCTGCTGTGTCTTGTGTGTGTAGGTAGAGCCTGGCCCTTTGAAACCCCATAAGCAAGACTTTTCACTTAAAGAGCTCTGCACAGCTGTCTTTTTATACAGATGGTATCATTTTATGTAGGATCAGGTCCCAAAACTTCCTGTCCTGGAGACGTTGGGGGTGTGAGCCAGCTCCCAGAGGATGTGGAGTGTGGCAGGGAAGGGCTGCTGCAGTACAGCTCCAAGAGCCAAATAGTTTCTCTCTCTTTCTGTCTTTTTTTCTGGGATTTTGGTCACCCTCCTGCTGGGATTTGGCCTGGCATGAGTCTGTCAGAGATGGCACCTGTGGCAGGACAGGCCAAGGCTGGGCTCTGAGTACAGCCCTGGATCTCTGCCCAGTGCAGCCGGTGCCACTGGAAGGGGCTGGTTCTGTTAAGTTCCTGGAGCCACAGGTGTGAGTGGGTGTCTGGACTCTGCAGGGCTTTCCAGGAAATCGAGTGCCTGGCATGGAACAGCAAAACCTCGTCCTTCAACTGAGAGAGAGGAAGTTGTGCTTCAAGGATTAAATACAGTGTAGCTTGGAGAGATAAGATTGCAGCCTGGCAGGCTGCACTGTGCTGCTCCCAGTGGGAGTGCAGCTTCCCAGCTCGTGTAGCACCACCGTGTGTCCACAGCATAAAGCCACATGTCCTGTTCCTGGTTGTGCTGTCGCATGCCTAACGATGCTGCTGAGCCAGATTGGAGTTGGACTGGGCTTCTAAACTGTTGTTGTGTTCCTGGGAGAGTAGTGAAGTGTCAGAGAGCAGTGTGAGCTCTCCCAGCATGATGAACGTGAAGCCTCTGTAAGTCTGTACTTGTAAAAAACTGAGTTTTCCTTCCTGTCCTCTCAGGGGGTGCATTGAAATATCTTTGTGGTGTTGTCCAGTGATAAATATACAAACTGTAACTGGGAGTCTCCTGCTAGTGAGAGAACATTTTTGACTGGAAAATATGTAGGTCTGTTCCTTAATCAGGAAGTAATTTTACTTCTTTGTTTTCTCTGATCAGGTCAAGGGCAGAGATAGAACATGAAGCACTCATCGATGGGAATCTTGCAACAGAAGCCAACCTGATAATTTTGGATACTCTGGAGATAGTTGTGCAGGTGAGGCTGATAAGAAAATGGAGATATAATGGTATTACAGTCACCTGGCCAGGCAGCACTTTGTTAAACCAAACTGCCTCAGTGCTGGGAGAACTGTTCAGCTGCAGCAGGAAGGGGGTGATGCCTCTCCCAAATCCCAGCCTGGAACCATCTGGTTTTACGTTGCAATACCTTCCTTCAGTCTTGAAATTGAGAATTTGAAGATTCTCCTTTCCTTGTAGTGTGAGAAATAGTTACTCAGGAATGAACTGTAAAAATCCCCAAATCTTACCCTATCCCAGGCGCTTCCTCCAGTTCTTTCCAAGCCTGCCTCAAATCCCTGGATTCCAGGTCAGCCTCCTGGACCTGTACTCACTTTGTCCCCTGATTTCTGTACAGATGAACCTGGGCACAGACTGGGAGCAGGCAGGACCATGCTTCCCAAATCCTCCTGATCTGCAGAGAGACCCAGGAATCCCAGGGATTGTACTTTGTGCCTGAGTAACCCAGCTAGAGCCCAGGTATGGGCTTTCCCTCTAGCACAACAATGTCCCCAAAAGTCAGAGCTTCACTGGGGACAAAGTGTCCCCAGTTCCACCTGCTTTATCCATGGCCAAAAGAGCCACTTTATCCATGGATCAAGTGTTCCTCACCTGGGGGTTGCCTCAGAACGGGGCTCTTTGGCAGGCCCAGCTAAGTGAGTAATTTCCCCATACAAAGGGCTTTTGGTCAGAGCTATTTGCTCTCTCCCACATGGACAGGCACACAGGAGGTTCATTTTTCTCATGGAGTCTTGGTTTCCCTTTTTCTCATGGAGTCTTGGTTTCCCTTTGCAGACCGTGTCTGTGACGGAGTCCAAGGAGAGCATCCTCGGCGGGGTGCTCAAAGTGCTGCTGCACAGCATGGCCTGCAACCAAAGTGCCCTTTACCTCCAGCACTGCTTTGCCACACAGAGAGCTTTGGTCTCAAAGGTGAATACCCTGTGGGGGCCTAAATCCACTGAGGGAGGAAGGCTGTTTCTTCCTTTGTATGGGGTCACTTCCCCAAGCAATTATTATTTTGGGCAGTATGAATTTTCAGGAAGCGTAGCCTGGCCTGGTTTTCATGGGCAGTGCCTGCATTTCTGCATTTTGGGCTTGGCTGCACCAAAAAGTGCAGCTCACACACCCTGGATGGGATGTGAGTTCCTGCTGGCTGGCACTGGTTGGGAAGAGGCACCTGCTCAGTGGGGAGCTCAAGGCACAGGTGGGGTTTAAGCTGAACAAATCTCACTTTACATGGATTTGTTTCCCAGTTTCTGTAGGTGTGTGGGGAGAAGCTCAGAGTTTTAAGCCTGAGATTTTGGGAGTGATGTAAATCAGTGTGAGGGTGTAGATGTAGGAGCAAGTTGGAGGGGAAGGTAAAATAAGTTGCCTTCCGGTGCTGCCGGTTTTGCCTTACTGTAAAGTGATTGAAAGGAGCATCATTCCCCTCAAAAGAGAGGGGTTGGGCTCCCTCTCATTGCAGTGCACCCTCACTGCTGCCTGTTTGTCTGAGTGCTCATTCCTGCCTGTCCAAGCACTGATTCCTCCCCTGCTGTTTTCCAGTTCCCTGAGCTGCTGTTTGAGGAGGAGACAGAGCAGTGTGCAGACCTGTGCCTGAGGCTCCTGAGGCACTGCAGCAGCAGCATTGGCACCATCAGGTCCCACGCCAGTGCCTCCCTGTACCTCCTGATGAGGCAGAACTTCGAGATTGGGAACGTGAGTCCTGCTGCTCTCACTGGGTTATTGCAGATAACGGGGCTGGGGCTGCTGGCTGGGGGTGCAGTCACCCACAGAACTGGGGAAACCCTGGTTCTGGGCCAGGGGCTGTGAGGGGATTGACAGCAAAGATAATGGGATTCCAGTTTTTAGGCTTGACCAAACCAAAACCAATCAGGACCAAGGATGTTTCATGAGAGTATCATCCTGCTCAGGGTGTGTGAGAGGAGACCATGTGCAAAGAGACAACATTAATATTTTTGCAGGAGAACCTTTTTCTGGAACTAAATAATCATCAGATGATGAAGTTTGGCAGCACCAGGTTTATTCTAATCACTGCTCTGAGACAGCCTTTCTTGCAAAACTTCAGTTTTCTTTTTTCTGTCAGGTCAGGAGGGTGCCATGACCAAAGCACTGTCTCCAGGCAGCTGAAATACCATAACAACATCTCTGTTGCAGAACTTTGCCAGAGTGAAGATGCAGGTGACCATGTCCCTCTCATCCCTGGTGGGAACATCCCAGAATTTCAATGAAGAGTTTCTGCGACGTTCCCTCAAGACTATTCTGACATATGCTGAAGAAGATCTGGAACTTAGGGAGACAACATTTCCTGACCAGGTAAAAGACATAAACCACAAGACAAGCAATATGTAATTCATTAACAGGCTGTGCCTAAACCTCCATCTAGAACTGGAATTTGCAGGCACTCCCTGGAAAGGGTTTGGGTTTTGGTTTTTTTAATCATCTAATCACATAAAACTCAGGTCTTTGATTAGTTCTGACAAGGTGCAAACTCACAAAGATTCAGAGTGACCGTGTTCCTCACATAACAATGTGTAGCTCAATTCCCATTGCCAGTTCTTTACAACAGCTTATTTTTCACAGGTCCAGGATTTAGTGTTCAACCTCCATATGATCCTGTCAGACACAGTTAAAATGAAGGAGCACCAGGAAGATCCAGAAATGCTGATTGACCTGATGTACAGGTAGAGTTGGCACTGTAGGGACAGGAGATGTCAGTGCTCCACGTGGGTTAGGGCTCAGATGCTGCACATTTGGGCACTTAAAGGACAGGTTTGTGGAGCAATTTTGGGTCTCACTGCTCACAGACCAATCCAGGCCTGTCTGTTGTGTTTGAATGTGGTGCTGAGAGCTTTTGTTTGGCATTTAGGCAGCTTATCTTGGATAAAAGTAGTTTTCATTCCCCAGCCATCCCTTGGAATCTCATCTTCCACCCGAGAAGGGAACTCTCCCTGCTTGCTTCAGGGAAAGCTTGGGGGTCTTCCAGCACCTGCTTGCCCAAAAGGCTTTTTGGTGGTACATACAATGGTGTCCATACGCAAAAGATATTCTGGAGCCAAGTTAAGCTCCCAAGTGCCAAATTTCATGGTGCTGTCTGCACAAATAGCCCTGAGGGCTTCTTAGTGGTCAGCAGAGGTTTTGTTGCAGGGAGCCAGGCAGGTGTGCTCTGATTGTCCTCCATCTTTAGATTGCCACCAGTCTCAGGTGAAACATGGGCTTTCGTCAGGAGCTTCAGCATCACCCACTGCTCACCCACCACTAACTGGCTCAAAAATCTGTAGTTCAGGGTGATTTCCCATCTCTGCAGCTTCTTGCCTCAGGGGTTTCCAGACAGCATCAAGGGGCTTTAGTGTTTAAGCAGAAGTGACTAAATACAGTGTGAAAAAGCCATGCTGAAGGGCTGTGCTGGTTCAGAAGGAAAGGGCATGGAAGCACAGAGGTTTTCTCTCCCTTTAGGATTGCCAAGGGCTACCAGAATTCCCCTGACCTGCGGCTGACGTGGCTGCAGAACATGGCAGGGAAGCATTCCGAGAGGAGCAACCACGCCGAGTCTGCCCAGTGCCTGGTGCACTCTGCAGCCCTGGTGGCCGAGTACCTGAGCATGCTGGAGGACAGGAAATACCTGCCTGTGGGCTGTGTGACATTCCAGGTGGGCATCATCCTTCCTAAGGGGTTTCTGGGCTTTGCTGCTGAGCTACAAAATGTTTCCATGTGCTGGGAGTTCTGTGCCTACATCCTCAAACCATCCCTAAGGGGTTTCTGGGCTTTGAAACTGCTGAGCTACAAAATGTTTCCATGTGCTGGGAGTTCTGTGCCTACATCCTCAAACCATGCTCACTGTTTGTTGCATGAATGAGGTGCTGATCTGTGAGAAGAGAAGTGTGTGAATTTTATACAGATGCTCTACAAAAATAGATGTATTTTATATATGCACTACAAATATGGCAGTATTTTACGTATATATTCTACAAAAATAGATATATTTTTATATACACTACAAAAATGGCAATATTTTACATATATACTCTATAAAAATAGAAAGCCATATTTTACGTATATGCTCCACAAAAATGGAAAGCTGTATTTTATATATATACTCTACAAAAATAGAAAGCCACCTCTATAGGAAGTCCAGGATTTGACTGCAAATCAGCTGCCTTTCAAAGTATTGAAAGTGTTGAGTGTTGTTTGAATTGAGTAAATGTATTTTTGTCTCTTGTATCTCCCCAGAACATATCTTCCAATGTTTTGGAAGAGTCAGCAGTTTCTGATGATGTTGTGTCCCCAGATGAAGAAGGAATCTGTTCTGGGAAGTATTTTACAGAAGCTGGTCTGGTGGGATTGCTGGAACAGGCTGCAGCATCTTTCTCTATGGTAGAAGACTTTCATTTCTTTACCTCCCTTCTCCAGCAACCTCACACTGCTGGGCAGTAGGAGGGAAAATGTTTTCTCTCTGAGTGTATAATTCTATTGTAAATGCTTAATTTGCACAGAACAATTGGAGTTTTAATTGTTCAAGACAGGCTGGTTTGCCCTCTGGAGTAAACCGAGGAAAAGGAGTGAATTAATTCCCAAGACACAAACATGAAGTGTCATTCAGTGGGCTTAAGCACAAGCAGCAATAAATCCAGAGCAAAAACCTGGAATTCCTGCTCAGCCCCTCTGTGCAGTGGCTGCCCACGATGGGCTGGCCCCACTCCATGAGAGAGATCCTGGGGATCTTCCCAAGTCCATCTCTCCTGGGGTGCCAGAAGTGGATGCAGAAGTCAGGCTGAAGATGTACTGAACAGAAAAAGCTGAAATGTGCATTTGAGCTTTTCCATATTTAGGATCCTGTTTAGTTTGTTTTGCTCTTGTGCCTGTGTCCATCCAAAATATCCCAGGATTGGTTATGTTAATGATCCTAATTACTGACAGCATGATGTAATGCACCAGGCTCTTGATTTCAGGGGTAACTGAGGATTTTATTCCATTTATCTCTGGGTACATTTCAAGAAGTGATGTGGTTATCCCACAGTGGTGTCTCAGCCACCTTTTCATTTTGCAGTTTTATCGTTTAAATGCTGTGTGTCTAATTCTGGCTGTTGAATTGATGAAGCAATCTGATGAGCCTTATTTTTGTAGGCTGGCATGTATGAAGCAGTTAATGAGGTTTACAAAGTCCTTATTCCTATTCATGAAGCCAACAGAGATGCCAAGAAGTTGTCTACTATTCATGGTAAACTGCAGGAAGCATTCAGCAAGATTGTTCACCAGGTAATGGTTTGAATTTTCAGCTGCAGGGTGAATTGTGAAGAAACTTCAAATGCTCAGTGCAAGGAAAATGAAAAAACATTATTCTCAGATTCCAGGAGAACTGTTAAATGATGATCCACAGTAAATACAAGGATCATTAACAGGTTTTTTTTCTGGAATTTAATACGAGAGAGCATCACAAACCAAGATCTGTTGTAACTTCAGAACTATCCAAGACTTAAAAATTCCAGGTTACCCTTTCAGATGTTCTTTTAAACTGTGTTTTGCATGCTGGGAAAACCACTGTACCTTGCCTTTAGCCTGGTAGGTAACATCCAGAAGTGCTGGGGGGTTTATTTGTTTGTTCATGTGGTGGTTAAAGAATTGAAGGAACCTTTCCAAACTTGGATGGTGCAAAAGCCACCAGCTTAATTAAGGGCTGTGAGGGCCTGGCTGTGCTGGGCCAGAGGAGGCTGCTTTGGATGCATGATGACTTAGAACCATTGAAACCATTGCAGGCTTATTGCTGGTCATGTTTTGGCCTTTGAAACTCTTCTTTTTTGGTTTCTGTGACATGCCCTTTTTACTTTTTATCACACAGAGTACTGGCTGGGAGGTAGGTAACTCCATCTTAGTTAGCAAAGAACACTAATTGAGTTTCCAGATGACTCACGCCAACGCTTGCCCACATGTGCTAGTTGTGGGTGTTTCTGTTGCTGTCTGCTGTTTAAAACAATTCATTAACCAAAGAAATCCCAATAAACCATGGTTGTAGTAGGAATTTCTTCATAAGCAGCTGTAGGTAGTGCATGGATGCTGACGTGTTCCACTAATGAGGTTCTTTGGTGAATGAGCCACTGTATCATCACTAGTTTGTTTTTATAATTTGTTTATATTTCTTTCCATCAGCATTGACACAGAAAATCATCCCTCCATACCATATTTTCACCCCACCCACAGGGGTCGATTTAAGCACCAATGCTCAGAGGTACCAAACACAAATCTGGTTTGCTGCAGGTGCACCTTTGATCTCAGGGGAGAAACTGCTTCCTTTTGTTCTCAAGCAATTTATGTAGGGGTTTATCTGGCAGTAAAAGGCTCAGCTGTGTTACCTGGGGCCGGTTTTGCTGCCTGTGTTTTTGAGGAGGCTGTGTGCTCACAGTTCTGCAACACACACCACGAGAACCACGCTTTTGGGTTAAAAATGGACAAAGAAATTGATTCATCTGCAGGGCCACTTTGACTCCAGCCCTGGTCCACTTGGCACAGTGGGTGCATGAGCATGGAGAAGTCTCAGAAAGCACTAAAAAGCTCTGTGAATATGATGTTCTTTGTTTAGGCTTCATCTTTCCAGTTTATTTTTGCTTTTCTATGGATCAGGCAGCTCATTTTGGGCCACCTCCCTCCAGGTTTCCACCACACATTTACTGAACCGAGGCTGAGGCAAAAAAACCTTTGGTGTTGTGGGACATAATTGAGGCTGGTGATGTCTGAATGTCAGTTTCAATTCCAGCCTGGCAAAAAATGGAAATTGAGCAGCTTAAAATAAACCCTGACACTTGAGGGCTGGCCCTGGAAGTCATCCCCTTGTCCCCATGGAAGGTCCAGGCAGACACAGCCCAACAGAGAACCTGTGCTAGGTGTGGAAATGATGTTAATGTGTTCAAGCCAACGAGGCCTGTGAGCATCTGTTTTATTATTCTGCCCCTAAATCGACCCCTGGAGAGACTCCTGCCATTGGTTATGATTCTAACACCACTTGGTCATGTTTTACTGCATGGTAAAAGACACCGTGGGTTCAGCTCTCGTCTGTCATCGTGCTCCTTCATTGCCACACTTTTTCTGACCTTTGTGCTTTGTAGCTTTCAGGTTTGTTGCATGTTTTGCCCTTTTTTTCCCTCCCCTTATTTTAAATATTTTAATGGATGCTTGCTCCCATTTTTTTTTTTAATTTTAAAATTTATTTGCTGCCAATTTGCTGCTTGTTTGTTTTATGGAATTTCCCTAATTAAATACTTTCTGTTTTCTCCTCTATCGCCCTGGTTGCTGACCCTCCTCCCCACTCTTACTATTGTCTGTTGTGGTAAGTTCCTACTTGTGGAATTTTTTTTCCCTTTCTCTGCCCCTTTTCCCCCACCTCCCCTTTTTGGTTTTGGTTTGGTGTTTTTTTTTTTTTTGTTTGTTTTACACTGTGGAACCCCCAATTTCATTTTAGCAAAGAGCTATGCCAACAGCAGCACCCCACTCATGGCACAAGGAATGTGGTGTTGCCAACCACAAGCATTGCAGTGTCCTGGGTCTGGCACCAGAGCATTCCTGAGCTCTCCTTAAACACACCAGCTGATGGGCTTTGTGTGCTTATTCATGGAATAAATGTTGAATTTATTCTATTTGTTTGCTTTCCAGTTAGGAAAATTAAGTAAAAATCTTTTCATGCTTGCTACAAGAATTTAAAAACTTCTTAAAGCTGTGTATGGGGAAGTTGCCAGTGGATAACAAGGCTCCAGGAGCTGATTCTTTCCCAAAAAATCAATATTGAAAGACTTGTAGTAGTTGGCAACACTGCAAAGGACCTTGGGTTAAAATTGAGCAGGAAAATAACAGTGCTGAGTTTGGTAAAGATGGGTTGGATTCTGCACTTTGAAGTCAGAGTTGCTTTTGTTCCTGCACCCTTCAGGCAGCTGCTGCTGTCCTGGTGGAGGAAGCAATGATCCCTATTGCATCTGATTTATCTTTTTTTCCCCCCAAATCTTGTTGGCAAAGCTTTTTGTGTGCGTGCAAGAGATAACCCCAAAACTTTATTCCCAGCAATTTGGAAAGGTATTTACCATGCATAATAACAAATCATGAACCTTCATAAGTCATGGTGGCTGTTACCTGCTCTGCCAGTTGTGTGATGGCTATTCAGTGTTCACCTTCATTCTCTTCTCCTCCCAAAATCCTATTATTTTTTGATAAAATAATAGGAGATACAATGCTTTTAATAATTCTTCCCTCATATCTGCATTTTTAGCTTTTGCCAGAAACAAGACCACGGAGCATTAAATTATTTGTTCAGTTTTCCCTGCTGTGGCTGGGAAGTGGTTTGGTGTTGGCTGAGTTTGAGATCCCAGTACAGAGCCATCCCCTCTCCCTAATGCCAGGCATGGAGCTGATTCCAGGGAAGTGGCAGCTCCTGAATATTCCTGGGAAGCCTGGAGTGGTCTGGAAGTGTTCCCCCAAAGGGATGTGCTCCCATTCCCTTTCCTCCAGGCACAGATTCCCAGCATGAGTCACATCAGGGGCTGGCAGTGCTCCTCACTGCTGCCTCTGGGATCCCTTTAACTGGGATTCAGCATCTGGATTTACCAGGGAGAGCCAGAGCAGCCTGGGGACGAACTGGGAGCTGACTTCACACAGGGACAGGGAATCTCAGCAGGCTTCCCTGGAGCTCTGCCACTCCTGGAGCTCCTCAGTGCCCCAAAAATTTCATTTTATGCATTTAGTAAATGCTAGCAGGACTCCTCAGTGATTTTTTTGCTCATCAACAGACAGCATTCTCTTCCTCCCTTATCATTTTTACCCTGCCTGTAACAAGGGGCTGGGGGTGTCCATGGCAAAAACTCACTTGCAGGGATCTGGTTCTGCAAATGCTTCCCACCCTGGAAACCCCTGGCCCACGAGGAAGGAAAAAACTCATTAATTAGAAATCAATGTGTCCTTAACCACCCAGTGCCAGGGTTGGGGCAGGATCCCACAAACTTGCCCATGGAGCATGGCCAAGCCTCATGCTGGCTCTGGGGAGCTGATCCATGTGTCAGACATGGAGTCATGGAATGGTTTGGGTTGGAAAGGACCTTAAAGAGATCAGGTTCCAACCCCACCTTCCCCCAGGTGCTGCCTTGGGAAGGACTTTGAGAAAGGAGCCCTGGAGTCAGAGCCTTCTGTCTGTGACAGTGAGATGGAAGCTGGAAATGCTGAGTATTGAGGGGTTTCAGTGTGGATAATGTTACCCAAAACTATGGCTTTGAAAAGGTAGTGATGAGGAAAAAAGGATTCAGTAGCTCGATCCGGCATGGATCCAGAGGGATGGGCACTGGACAAAGACAGGGAGTCCAGGGAAATGGCAACATCCAGTGAAACAGCAGCAGCTCTGCACCTGGAGTTCCCACCCTGGGAGGGCTGCTGGGATCCTGTGCTGTGCTGAAAGCCCTGGGGCTTTCAGTGGGGCTGGAGAAGAGCCCCTCTCTGCAGGAGGATTCCCTGAGGGAAGGCTCTAGAGCAGGGTCCAGGGAGCCTGGGCACAGCCAGGTGTTGCTTTTTTGGGATGAGTTCTGCTAATCACCCCAGGTGCCTCCAGGAGGGCAGAGCTCTGCTCTGAAGTGGAAGTTTTTGGCCCTCAGGCACCTCCAGGGGGATGCTCCAGAGTTTCCTCCAGCCGGGGGAAGGCAGTGGCCATGCCAGTGGTTTTTGCAGTCTGGAGTTTGCCTGAAGGGTTTTTTTTAATTTTAGTTTGGCTTATTTATCCTCTTTGCCTTCCATAGATCGTGTTCACCATCACCACAAGAGATCAGTTTTGCCATAGCCAAATACTAAAATAAAATCTGGCAGCCAGGACACCTGTAAGGGCTGTTTGAAGCCAAAACCTAACCCAGCTCAGGGACACTGAGTGTCCTTTACTGCATCACATTTTGTCACGAGAGTAAAGGTGAACATTTTGGAGTTTCTTGCTGAAAGGCATCCCTGGTTTGTGCATGCAGCGTGAGTTCTTTAACACAAGCAAGGTGTGTTTAATTTTTAAAGCATTTTTCTTCTCTCTCTCTCTCTTAATCAGATTTTCTCCGTTGCCTTTCCAGCAAAAAATCTTTCTTGTTTCTCTCCTTTTGTTGCGTTTCGGGGCCAAATTCACCACTGGCTCCCCTGGAAGCAGGTACATGGCACAGGATTGCATCTGCTTTCACCAGGAGTGACTTTGGCCCTCTCTCCTAGACAGTTCCTAGAGAGTGTAACACCTCCCAGCTGGAATGCTGGTTCAAGAGCACTTGTGTGTGTGTGTGTGAGTGAACTGGACATTGACTTGGGCCCAACCCTGCAATTCCTGGAGGGTGGATTTTGGGTGATTCCAGGGGTGTCTGACCCCTGCAGGGTCTCTGCACAGGCTTTGGAGAGCCTCAGGTAATGATCCCAACAAAGGGATTTGCCTTTGGCTGCCTCTCAGAGATACCTGATGCTTCTTAAGCTGAAAGAGAGTAGATTTAGATGGGATATTGGGAAGGAATTGTTCCCTGTGAGGGTGGCGAGTCTCAAGTTCCCAGAGAAGTTGTGGCTGCCCCTGGATCCCTGGACATGTCCCAGGCCAGGTGGGCAGGGCTTGGAGCACCCTGGGACAGTGGGAGATGTCCCTGCCCTTGGCAGGGGTGTCGTTGGATGGGCTTTGAGGTCCCTTCCAACCCAAACCATTCCATAATTCCATGATGGCACCTCCAGGCTCCTCCTGGGTTGGGAGAAGTCATTGCAGGGTTGGGCTGATGGTCGTAACTGATCCATAGAATTCCATGTTAGTTTATAATTCCATTGTGGCGTTTGCTGCTAAATGCATCCATGCTGAGTTCCAGGTGTGTTTTTTTTTTCTTTCCCTTCTTTCTTTCTAATTTTTTTCTCTTGGTTTTTAATTTCTTTTCATTTTTGCATAAATTCAGGAGCCTGCCTGCAGCCGTGCTTGAGGGTGTGCATGTGTCCACCCTGAAATAACCTCTTGTTTCTCCATCCCTAGGATGGAAAGAGGATGTTTGGCACCTACTTCCGAGTTGGTTTTTATGGAACCAAGTTTGGAGACCTGGATGAGCAAGAGTTTGTTTACAAGGAGCCTGCAATAACCAAGTTGGCTGAAATCTCCCATCGGCTGGAGGTGAGAGGGTTTCACTGGAAGTTTGACTTCATCATCAGCTGTTTCATAGGAGCAGCCCCTCAGAGAAGCAGTTTGGGTGTCTGAGAGCTGGGGCTGGTGTCCCCTGCCCTCCTGCTGGTGCCACCTCTGTGGGAGGAGAGGAATTCCCTGATCAGAGGCTCTCCCTGAAAATTTGTGGTGTTTCCATTATCGTTCTCCTCCAGTAGGGTCTTCCCAAGGCATAGACGGAGTCTTTGTTAGTCTCTTCTTTATCTTCTGGTTTCTCCAAGATGTCCTTGTGCTCCATAAATTCTCCATTCCAGATATCCAGCCTCAACAGTCCATCTCTCTCTCCCAGGCTTTGTTCATTGAAGCACAGCAGAGTTGGTTTATCAAAACCTACAGCTTCATTAATTTTCCCAGGCTGTGCTCCCACAAAAGTAGGTTATGACAACGTTGCTAAATGCTGGCTAAGAGTAATTTAGGAATATCACAGTATTTATAATTAATATGTATATATAGGTTATGATTAAGACATTTAATTTAAATGTTAATTAAAACCATTAATTAAAATTTAAACAGTATCATTTCCAGCACCAGTGGATCCCAAACTGATGTGTTTTAGTTGCACACAGACACAAAACAAACCCAAATGCCTTCTTCAGAACCAGGCACTGTCGGAAGGCTCTCCTGCTTTCCAGGGTTTGTTTTTTCCCATTGCCCCTGGAAAGTGACTGTTGGAATTCTCCTGGGTTCAGCAGATCACATTCTGTCAAAGTCTTGTGGAGCTTCACCTCCCCTGAATGTGCCTTTGCTCCCCAGCCCCCATCATCCATTTGATGGTTTATTGCTTTTTCCTTGGTTGTAGGGATTTTATGGAGAACGGTTTGGGGAAGATGTTCTGGAAGTGATCAAGGACTCAAACCCTGTGGACAAATGTAAACTTGATCCCAACAAGGTAAGGGCACAAGTGCAGGTGTAGAGATAGAACAGGTCCTGAATGGGTGAAATTGCAGTGGGACAAATTCTGCCCTGAATTTCACCACGTGGGCAACAAAATCCATGTACTGAGCATCTTGTGGCTACTTGGGAGGAGAGTTTGGGAAAATAATTCCAGCAAAGGATGCAGAATTGGCCATTCCCTTCCCTGGCCTGGTAGTGGTGGGTGGGAAGGGAGGAGGTGAAAGGACAGAAGCTGTGCTGGCCTTGCTCTGCTGGGTGCAAGGAAGGACGGGCTGTGCCATTCCCTGGCTTTTGTGCTGCTGCAGCGTTTTGTCACCTTTGTGCCATGTCCTTCAAGAGCAGGGAAACAGGACTGTGGCTCAGGGCAGGGCAAGGAAGGGTTTAGATTGCACACTGGAGAGAAATTAATTGTGAAGTGTTGAGGCCCTGAAAGAGATGCCCAGAGCAACTGTGGCTGCCCCTGGATCCCTGGAAGTGCCCAAGGCCAGGTTGGAGCAACCTGGTTTAGGGGAAGGTGTCCCTGCCTGTGGTAGGGGTGGGCTGGGGGGACTTTGAGCTCCCTCCCACACAGAGCATTGCATGATTCCATGATGTGAAAGGCATGAGAAGGGAAGGACAGCGAGCTGTGCTTCACCCAGCCCACAAGCCAGCGGCAGCGCCTCGGTCCCTCCGATGTGAGCGGGATTTTTGAAGGCAAAGCCCATCCCTAGTTTGTGCAGTGGTGTTGGGAGGACACAGCTCCTGCTGAGGAGCACGTTCCCTGCTGCAGGCCTACATCCAGATCACCTACGTGGAGCCCTACTTCGACACGTACGAGATGAAGGACAGGATCACCTACTTCGACAAGAACTACAACCTGCGGCGCTTCATGTACTGCACGCCCTTCACGCTGGACGGCCGCGCCCACGGCGACCTGCACGAGCAGTTCAAGCGCAAGACCATCCTCACCACCTCCCACGCCTTCCCCTACATCAAAACCAGGATCAACGTCATCCACAAGGAGGAGGTGAGGCTGGAGCTGGGTGGGAAACGGTGCCCGGTGGTGCAGGAGGCTCCTTCAGCCCCATTCCAGGAGCTCCTAGGGACTTTTCCCTGTTGCCATTCGACCCAAACTGAGCCCAGACTGATTTGGGGATGTGCTTGCCCCACCACCTCCAGACCTGGTACACGTAGGGGTGCTTGGAGAGCTCTGCAGGCCGGGCTGGGTTGGTGTTGGAGGAGCCTGCTCTAGGGAAGGTGTCCTGCCCATGGTGGGGGTGGAATGGGATGAGCTTTAAGGTCCCTTCCCACGCAGTCTTTCCATGATTCTGTGATAATGGAGGTTTGGTAATTTTCCAAGGATGGGCAGGATCACATGTGATCACTGGGACACTGTGAGCAGTGACCCAAAGGGACACGAGTGCCACTCAGAAACATCTCACACAGCTCTGGGGTGCCCAGAAACACATCTAAAAACCAAACCTTTTCTTGATGTCACTGAACCAAGGTGATGCATTTCTGAGGTCCTGTCCTCCTGTCCACCCCTTAGTGGTGCCACCCTGTGGATTTTTTTTTTTTTTTTTAAGATTGGGATTAAATGTGTGAGATGGTATTTTTTGTTTGGATTTAGATGTTTATTCGTTTTTAATTTAAATTATAGTTTTATAAATTGTGAGTTTTATAGTATTTTAAATAAATATAAAATGGAGTTGTATTTTTTTAATAAAGTTTTTAAAGGATAAATTGTTTAATTTAAAATTTGTATTTAAATTATTTTTATTTTTAATTTAATAATTATTTGTGGTTTGTAATGTGGATTTTTTATTTAATTATATAATATTTAAATTTATGAAGATGAAGAAGGATTAGTTTTTGTTTTATATATATTATTTATATATATAACAAAATTTCAATATATATATTGTATTTTATATATTATTATATTTTAAAATTTAAATGTTTTTATTTTGTGATATTATATGCTTTTATCTAAATTACATATTTATAATCTTAGTTCTATTATTTAATTTTGGAAGCTTTTTTTTATGGTTTTAGGTCAAATGCAGTGTTCCCTTGGGGGTTAGTGCCTGTTAGCACAGAAAATTTTTAATTTAAATTATAGTTTTATACATTGTGAGTTTTATAGTATTTTAATAAATTAAAAATGGAGTTGAGTCATTCAACCTCCAATTTTCTGCAGAAAATGCCAACATATAGAAACCCAGGTCATTTAGCACCCAGTTCTCTGCAGCTCTACAAAACCTCCCTGGGAGAACATGATGTTTCCTGGTGGTGGTTGAGGGTTTTTGTTTTCTTTAATAAATATAAAATGGAGTTGTATTTTTTTAATAAAGTTTTTAAAGGATAAATTGTTTAATTTAAAATTTGTATTTAAATTATTTTTATTTTTAATTTAATAATTATTTGTGGTTTGTAATGTGGATTTTTTATTTAATTATATAATATTTAAATTTATGAAGATGAAGAAGGATTAGTTTTTGTTTTATATATATTATTTATATATATAACAAAATTTCAATATATATATATTTTATATATTATTATATTTTAAAATTTAGATGTTTTTATTTTGTGATATTATATACTTTTATCTAAATTACATATTTATAATCTTAGTTCTATTATTTAATTTTGGAAGCTTTTTTTTATGGTTTTAGGTCAAATGCAGTGTTCCCTTGGGGGTTAGTGCCTGTTAGCACAGAAAGTCTGAAATTCTCAGTAACCAGGGTTCCAACACCACCCCACTGTGACCTGGGTGTTCCTCAAGGTCTGTGCCTGCTTGCCAAGCTCAGCCATAACAAAAATCCTGTTCTGGCTCCTTGCTCAGATCATTTTGACGCCCATCGAGGTCGCCATCGAGGACATGCAGAAGAAAACCCAGGAATTGGCTTTTGCCACCCACCAAGACCCTGCAGACCCCAAGATGCTGCAGATGGTGCTGCAGGGATCAGTAGGTACCACAGTGAATCAGGTGAGGATCACTGTCCCAGCTGCACTCTGGGACTGCACAGCCTTGGGCCTTGTTTCTCAATTCCCCTGGAATTTTTAATCTGTTCAGTCTGTGGGATGTGTTGAAGGTCATTTAGGGAAGGTCTAGGCCAGCTGTTCCCAGTGATTTTGTTATTTGAGTAAGAGTCTTGAAAATGTGGAAAGAAACTGGAAAAAACATCCCTCAGTTACTGCTGCTTCCTGGCTGTTGTTTCTGCCTGCTCCTCTTGCCTAAACTTTCTCTTTGTTAGCCAGGCTCTACAGGATAGTGTCCTGCTGTGGATTTTCAACAAAATGGAAAGCAGTGGAGAAAAACTGAGGAAAAGCTGAAAGAGCCTGAGTAAAGCACAGTGCACAAACTGGAAAAAAATCAGCTGCAGTTCTGAGTGCTGGGTTGAGTTTGCAGTGCTGGCAAACACTCCCTGGCTTCCATCTGCATTGTTTAAACTTTGCCTCAGTTGTGAGTTGAGCAAACTTGGTCAGGAGTCCTTATAAAGGAAAACAAATGGAGAATCTGTGCAGTTTCTCACACAGTTTTCCAAAAGCAGAGTTTTAAATAAAACAAATCAAGGCCTAAAGGCGACTCAGTTGTCAGTGAGGTTGGTGATTTACACCAGATTTCCCAGCTGCAGCTCTTCAGGATGCTTTGTGTAAGGAAATGTTGTGTTCTGTGCATGTTTTCTGTGGGGCTGAACTTTCTCCAGTGGTTGGATATGACAGACAGCTCCCAGAAACTCACTGTGCCCCTTCTTCTCCTAAAGGGACCATTAGAAGTTGCACAAGTTTTCTTGTCTGAAATCCCCAACGATCCAAAGCTCTTCAGACACCACAACAAACTCCGCCTGTGCTTCAAGGACTTCACCAAAAGGTATGGAAAGGGTCCCCAGGGCACCTGCCCCCCCAGGCAGGGCCACGTGCAGTGACCCAGGGCTGTCCTGGTGTCCCTCCACCTGCCCAGGTTCCATGTGCAGCTCCTTCCTCACCTGCCCAGCCCTTCCCTGTTGGTGCTGCTGCTCCCTGGCTTCATGGCCCTTGCTGTTTAGCAGGAGGAATTGATCCCAGCTCAGCTGTGAAGTGTCCCAGAAATCACAACAGGCCAGAGCTCCCAGCCTGGCAGGGTCCAGGAGGAGCTGCTGGACTGGCCAGGAGATGAAATTTCCTTCTGAAGTGAATTTCTCCAAGCAGAGTGGAGGGATGCTGGCATAATTCCCTGGAGAAATGTGCTGGCTGCTCTACTTTCCTTGAGTCATGCAAACTGCAGGCTCAGTCCAGCATCTTTTACAGCACCAAGAAATTTAAAAAACCACCAAAATAATTGAAATGAAAAAACTGTGAGCAAATAGATCCAGTGGAAGCGTAGTTTTCCCTTATGAAATAAATGTCTTTGCTGAAAACAACTGATACAGTTGTTTTCCTACCCTTTATTTAAATTACATCTTTGCCAGCAGAAGAGTTCTTGATGAACATCCCAGGCTACTGTTTATTAATCTCTCCTGATTTATCCATCTTTAAATCCTCTGGGACTGCAAGTGGCTCTGTGGAAATTAGCTTTCCATTTCTCTTCAGAGAGGATAAATGTAACTGGAGGGTAAATGACAATAAAAAAGGAGTTGTCACTCTGGAAATGGGAGATGTGATATCCTCTCCTTGCCCCCTGGACACCAGGTGGTTCAGCTGAGCCTTGAGGCAAGACCAAAAGGCAAGACAAAGGGTATTCCCTGTGATCCCAGAGGGCCAGAGTGGCTGTTTTTGTACTGTTGGATGAAAAAACCTATGGCAAGGGGCTCTTTCTGCATGCCCAGCTCTCAGAGGGTTTGTGTTGCAGGTGTGAGGATGCCCTGAGGAAGAACAAGAGCCTGATCGGGCCGGACCAGAAGGAATATCAGCGGGAGCTGGAGCGCAACTACCACCGGCTCAAGGAGGCTCTGCAGCCCCTGATCAACAGGAAGATCCCACAGCTCTACAAGGCAGTGCTGCCTGTCACGTGCCACAGGTGCATATTTGGGGTTCCTCTTGGGGCACAGGGTGTGAAACTGAGGGCTCTGAGCTTCCCGGGATCGTGCGCCATCCGTTTGTTTTCGATCCTGGCTCTCCTGGCTGAGCCCGTCCCTTTTCCCTTCTGTCCCTCCTGAGAGCACATTCCCTTCCCAGCAGCTGTGGTAGGTGGTGTTTGCAATGTTCCTTTTGTTCCTCAGCTAGGACAGTCGGTTTTTTGTTTGTTTCCATCCTCCATCCCGTTCCTTTTAGATGCAAAACCACCCTCAGCTTGGCAGGACTTTATTCCCAACGAAAATGGGATCAGGTGCTCCACTGGGGGGAAATTGTTGGTGCTGGAAGACCAGGAAGCTGGAGACTGGGTTTGTGTGAGACAGGACATAAAAATCCCAGTGGGAATCACAGAAGGGTTTGGGCTGGAAAGATCTTAAACACCATCCAGTCCCACCCCCCTGCCATGGGCACCTTCTGCCAGAGCAGGCTGCTCCAACCTGCTCTGGAAAAATTCCAGGTTTGGGGTGACCAAAACCTCCATGTCAGGTCATGGATGAGCAGGGGGATTTGGGGTACAGCCACTTTCCAGCCGGGCTGTGGCTCCCAGATCAGGGCCAGGAGTGGTTCCCAGCAGGAATCTGTGACCCCTGTGGAGTTCCCTGGCAGCAGGGCAAGGCTGGATGTTCCTGGAGCTGAACTCAGGGGGTTTCTGGCTGGGAGTGCTGCAGGAAGGTCCCTTCCCTCCCTGCCCAGCTTTGGAATGCTGGAGCTCTCCCCAGCTCTGTGTCCCAGCTGTTCCCTGGCAATTTTCCTGGCTGGCAAGGTGGGAATAGCAGAGCTTCCCTCCCCACCCAGCCAGGAGCCCTACAAATGCTTTTGGTGTGGTAATTATTATCTGATCAGATAATCAGCCTAATACAGGTATGACATAAAGTATCCTGAAAATCATAGAATATCCTGAGTTGGAAGGATCCCACAAGGATCACTGAGTCCAAGTATTCCTGGCAAATTCCACTTTAGAGATGTGTTTGAAAGATTTAAATAAGGTTTCAGTTGTACAGGTGTTTGTGCTGCTTCTGTGTGTACACGGGAATTAAACTTTCTGTCAGTGTCTGGATGATCCCAGATACAAACCCAATTCCTTGGAAAAGCAACGAGTTTTAATGCCAGTGGACTTAATTTTTGTTGTAACCAGCTCTAGAAAATACTGGAAATCAATTCAGAGTCATTCATCTGGTGAGGCTTCTTATTTCACCATGGAAAATCTGAGCTCATCATTGTATTTTCTCTCCCTCAGAGACTCCTTCAGCAGGATGAGCCTTCGCAAAATGGAAATCTAAACGAGTTAAAAACCAAAATAAAAAAAAAAAGCACTTAAAAAATTAAGGTTTTTGAAAAGAAAAAGAGCCTTGTTATCAGCGCTGGGAATCAAAGAAGTTTTATTGTGAAATAAAACTTGGACTTCATCCTGGACATCCCACACACCTCTTCCTCCATCAAAGTGTTCAGTGGCCAAAAAAATCATTCTGAATTGTCAATGTAGACTTCTCAATGTTTGAAAAGAAAAAAAAACCATCATGGCAGTGGTATCCAGAGTATTGGTGATGAGCTGTAAACTTACCTGTTTTTTAAGGCATTTTTATGACTCAAAGGTACACTAAAAGCATTTACCTTTATTTATAGCATTACCTAATGTTAAATTTATTTTACTTTTAGTTCCTATATTTAATTTATATTAGGACCATACGCAAATGCATTTTGGAAGTTTTTAATGTAGTGATGATGCTGATGGTTATTTTGATGGTACTATTAAATATGTGAATGTTTACACTTTAATTCCCTGTGCATTGGACTTCAGGGCTCAGCATCCTTGGGGAAAAGGTTCAGAGCAAGGTAAGTCCTGGTAACATTAATTAACAGAGTGCTGATTGTTTATTATCCCTGTTCCTTTGCTGCAAACAACAACAACAAAAAAAAAATTCCACCTGTAGGCAGAAGCAGATGGAGGCACAGCTTGGCACCCCTTCACCTCCTTCAGTCCACCAGGGGAAGTTTCAGCTTCTTCACTTCTGTGCTCATGGGCATCTCCACCAGCTGGCAGGTCCCAGCATCTCCTCACCCCTGCAATTAGCAGTGTCCATGGAACTAAACTCATTTTGTGTCCATTTTTTAATTTATAGCCTAATTTCACAGGGCAGAAGAACTTAAAATGCTATCACAGTTTAAAAGGGTACAAGGCATTCCTTGCATTGCTGTTTATGTGAAGAAAGATGTTTCACAGCAGATGTTTTGGGGTCTAACACTGCACTTTGAGGAAACATCAGATTTGGAGCTGAGTCCACAACTCCTAAATCTTGTCCTTAATATTTTTCCTCTCTGTGGTGAACAAAGTCCCCTGGAAGAGGTGGTGTGTGATTAAACACATTTATTCTCTCTCCATAAATACCTAAGTATGCATAAAAACCCAGATATACATACAAACCTGAATTTGATAAACATACTCTTTATATATATATATATATCAAAAAATAGAAGGAAAAATGGGTTTATACATGAAGTGCCCCCTTCTGCAGCAGCACTGAAGGTTTAGGGTGGGGAGGGTCTTTTTTTCCCTTCCTCATACTTATTTTAGGTTTCTGGAGACTTCTCCCATGCTCTGTTATCCCAGCAGCTGCACAGTTGGTGCTTTCTGTGCCAGGCTCTGCAAGGTTCCCTGGAACAGAATAATCCTGAATTGGTTCTGTGTCACACCTGTGTGGAATTCCCTGCAGAAGGAAAATTCCAACCTCTTCATGGGTATTCCAAGGCTCCTGCAGAGCCCAGGGCCTTTGAGGTGCTGCAGCAGTCAGGGAATCTCAGAATGGAAAATATTAAGGAAGGAGGGAAGGGCTTTGGAAGAGATTTACAGGAAGAGGCATTAAAAATATTTACACAGTGCAAACAAATCCCAGGAGCCGTGAAAAGATGAAACTTTAATTTACAGCAGTGCTGCTCCAGGACAGGAGTTACAAGCAACAGGTTCAGGGGGGTGGCAAGTGGTGCTTGAGTGAATATCCCAAAAATGCACCCTCAGTCTCCCTCCTGTGCCAGAGGAGGTGTTTTCATTCAGCATCTTCCAGCTGAGGCTGTTTTCTCTTCAGCTGCCACAAAAGAATCTCCTCACAAACTGCACTGGGATGATGGAAGGCAGCTGGGTCTTCCTGACATCCTATTTTGGTGTAAATAATGGTATTTTGTTTCCTTGGAACATTCCTGATGCTGCAGTTGAATGAAAAAGATAAAGTCTTGCGCCAGGTGTGGAAAAATAAACTTTCATTTGCAGGCTGAAATTCAGCAAAGCCTAAAAAATTGCATTCTGTAATGGGATTGGGCTGCCCTTGCAAGGTAAGATTACTGATATTTTTGTAATGAAGCTTTTTCTTGGTTTAGACTCTGAAATTATTTTTTATTATGGTGCTGTGCTTTGCAAAAGGGAAAGTGTATTTTGTCATTGCAGATTTTTTATGCTGCGAAATCAAGGCCTGTACAACAGTCAGAGGTCAAACCTAACATGGAAAATGCACTAAAAGAGATTTTTCCTGACTTACCTCCATGTTTATACAACATTTATAATAAAAGACAGTAAAAATTAAGTATTGCAGAATTAACTAGGCAGAGGTTTTTAGGGGTTTCCCTGTAAATAAATTAATTTGTAGTGGAAAAAGGTGAAATATATCCAGGGCATACTCAAAGCCTGCAGTGATACTTGATGTCATTCCATCCATCCTGGGACAGACTGAACAATCCCCCTTTTCTGAGTCATAGTTGTTAAAATTTTAATTATCAGTTTATAGGAGTCACCTTCAATTCTCTGCCAGACAATCTGGGATTTTCATCTCTAGTATTTAGTACAAATTGGTTTTGCATTGTTTCCCCTTAACCTCACAACTGTAGTCAAAAAGTACCTTCAAATTAGGAGGTACTGTCCAAGAACCCTAAAAACCACAGAATGAATTCTAAAAGCACTTTAATTCTGTAAGCTAATTTCCCAGCCTTTTTGTTACTGTTCCCAAAGCCCTTTCCCTCTCTGCTTTCCCCTCTCCAAACACAACAGGCTGATCTGCTTGTCTCAGATGCGGATCATAACTTTTTTATTTCATATGTACATTCTTAACAAAGCATCAAAGCCAAATGCTCTCCTTTTCCCCCACGTTTCAGTGAGCTCCAGGTACAAATTAACTTCAGTTAGAAGGTCACCACTGAGTTCCCAACCACCCCAAACAGAGATGCAGATTTGAGGGCTTCACTCTTCAAAGTACAAAATTATTTTAATTACACTACACTCTGCCCCTGGTTTGAAGTATTAATCACACCTATTTACACTTTGCTCATTAACACCTATGCACCAAGATGCAAATTAGACCAGTCAAACAGTTCCATGAACTCAGTTCCCTCCAATGCCCTGGACAAGGTTCCTAGACCCTTTTTCTTGTGCTTCAAGTTGCAAGGGGCAGGAGAATAAACCACGTCCATTACCCAAAGACTAAATATGAAGTGTTACTTCCCAAGTTACAAAAATACACAACTTCTGATGAAATTTGCTAGTTAATATACATTTACTCCAGGGTATGAATACAAATAACTTTTATTAAAAAAAAACAAAACAAAAAACCAAAACAAACAAACAAACAAAAAAAAAACCCAACAGAAAAAAAAAACAAAGGAAAAAACAGGGGAAAAAAGGAAAAAAAAAAGCTAATAATACAAGAGGCATGTCTGAGACCTAGAGCTGCATTAAAACCACTACTGGGTGCTGTAGGCATCGTTTAGGATCTATACAAACTGGTATTTCTAAAAGGTCAGAGCACTATTCTCCAGCAGAAAAGTTACGGTGTGAGTCAAGTCCTATGTCATGTTTTGTTAATTCAAGTCGAGCCACTTGACACCGAAGGAAAAAAAAAAGACCAGAAAGATGAAGAATCAGTAGCTTCAAAAAACAAACAGCCGTTGCTTCCAGGTAGTTTGGATGCAAATCAGAGCCAGAGGTGTATGCAAATCCCAAATATTTACAGTCCAAGTACAGCATCACTCTACAATTTTCTTATAAAACAGTAGGTAAGGAGTCGATGTAGATGACGATGTCGGAGAAAGAGAATTCAGAAAGTCCTTTTCCTCTGTGACCTTCACTTCGGAATCATCGAAGAGCAGCCACTTCCCCTCGTACTCCTTGAGGCTCTGGAGCACGTAGAGAGCTTTGTTCTCCAGTCCGTTGGCTCCCAGCGCCGGGGGCTCGCCCTGCTCCGCCCTGGGCTCGGCGCTGGGCTCGCTGCGGGGCTCGGGAGCCACGCTCAGGAGCTGCTTCTCGGGGTTGGGCTGTTTGCTGGCGCACAGCTCACAGTCAGCCTTGCTCTTCTGCCCCCCGAGCAGCCCCACGGCCTCCATGTTCTTCTTGCTGAGCACCTTGCCCGGCGGCGCGGCGCCGTTGAGCCTGAAGGAGACCTCGCCGTCGTCGTAGTCCTCGGCCACGGCCCGCGCCTCCTCCTCGGTCAGCGGCTCCGGCTTGAGCGCGGCGGCGTAGGCCGGCTCGGGGAGGAAGTTGCCCCTGTCCAGCTCCAGGCTCTGCAGGTCTGTGACCTTCACCGAGGCCGTGTAGTGGCCGCTGCTGATGGTGATGCCGCTGTGCATGACCACGGCGAAGAGCCCGTAGGTGTCGTTGGTGGGCCGCGTGCTCCACTCCTCCAGGGACAGCCTGAGGGGCGTCAGCAGCGGCGTGTTGATCTTGGACAGGCCCCCGTAGCAGTCAAACCTGCCAAGGGACGCAGAGCTTACTCCTCGTGTCACAGCACCTCCCAAAAACCACTTCAGGTGGCCCAGAGGTGCATCCATATCCTTTCTTCAAAGATACGGATGGTGGGAACTGCTCCCTGCTGCCCTGGCCCAGCACCAGCATCCCAAGCACCCCCAGTCAGGAAAGGCATTTTTATGAGCGTAATGTTGAATCTTACAGCCCAGAAACTGTAAATTTTAACTATTTCAGAGATCCCATTTTTCCAAAGTATCAGCTAAAGATAATTTTAAAATATTGATGATAAAGGTTCAGCTGATTGTTATCACTCCTGCTCCTATTTCTGCACAAACACCCCCTTCTCTTTCTCACCATCCTGTTCAAAAACAAACCAAAAACCTCTTCAACAGCCAAGGCTGAACCAAGCAGGCCTGGGTTTGTTTTTTTCTCCTTCTGAAAGAGTCATTTACTAAATAAAGCATTACTTATTTTACTTTCAAGTAGCTTTAATATCACTCAGATTGTGACTAATTTTCCTCAGCTCCCCTCAGTGCACTGTAGCTGTGGTGCTCACCTAGGATTTCACTAGCTGTCCTTTGGCATTCTAATTTTTTAAACAATTCTGTAGCTAATTTACTTTGGAAAAACCTCTAGTATTCCATATTCAGTATTTTGTTCACAGCACACAAATTTACCAGGAGGGGAAGAAGTCCTTTCATTATAAGGATCTTCTACAGAGTTTGAAGAGAAAGTCAGTGTTGGGATTTCATTGTGCATCAGCCTCCTTGAATGATTCTGCTCTTGATGACTTACACATTGCATCAGCCCAGATCAATTAATCCCTTTATTTAACAATAGGTTGTGATGTCCTAATAAATTCCAGGGATGACTCAGTCTTACTCAACTGTGAGGGTGTTGCAGGGAAAAATACTGGAGAGTACAGACAAGCCCTGTAAAACTCAGGTTTCCAAGAGCTCACTGCTCTTATCATAGGAAAAAATAACTTAAATCCAAGGAAACTGCAGCCACGGCGTAACTGCAGTTATGATTATTGTTTTCCTGGATTTAATTTTGGTTGTGCTTCACTCCTGTTCAGAGCCATGAACCCTGAGACACAGAAATTAACACAGTGACACACACAGATCTTCAGTCACTCCAGTTCAGTGAAACCTCACTTCAGACCTCTCTCAACATACACTTTTCACTCCAGCAAAAGGAACACAGAAGAGCACAGAATCAGAAAAAATAAAACTTAAACCTTCTGAAAATCCCTATTATCAGCAGCCAGAAATAGAGATATTCAGAAGAGAGTCCAGAAACACAGAACTGCTGGCTGATACCCTGGATTACAAATCCAGTTCCACTCAAGCACACTGGGACAATCATATTCACAGAAAACAGGAAAAAGCAGGCTCTACCTTTCTTCTCAATGACATCCAGCATCAGAAAGATTTGGAGAGGAGGAAATAAGAGAGGAAATCTTTTCCTATTAGCTTTTTGTTCTTCTTAATGATAAGAATCTGAAGACAGAAAAATTGCATGCCAAGTACTCTGCCTGCTCTGACTGATGCACTTCAAACACATCAAAGCTGATTTCTGCAGCCACATCTTTTGAGACCATAAATTAGTGACATTTTACCCACTGCACTGAATTTCACAAGACAAAAAGCTGATTTTCTCACAGATTGTTAAATTTCTATAGTGGAAATGCTT